GTGTTCATAGATCCCTGTGCCTACCTACGTTGATTTCAAGCCGCTCATTTTGTCGAGAGTTTCTCACATCTTCAGTGGGTTTAAGGATTTTCCGATTTAATCTGCAAATAAATTATTGAAATTTATGAATTATTACAATTATTTCGATTTCCGTAAATACTTAAATAAAACACTCAAAAGAAATAGAACCTTTGCTACAAATTAATAGCTGTTGCATAAATAATTATAAATAGCAAATATAAACACAACTTGAATTTATTTAAGTCAATCTCAAAGATATTTTAGCTATCCATTATGGCAAAAAGAAGCTTCTCCTATGGGCTTCTCCTGTTGCTGATGTTTGAGGTTTCCGCTTTGATTCTCTGTATTTGATTTTCTCTCTTAAAGAGCGATAAATAGATCCCTAGGCCTCTTGGGTTAGCCTAATTATGAATAGAATTGATCAGCAGTTTCAGTTTCGGCTTTAAATTGAAATTGATTAACTGGCTGGACATTAATGCAGCTCGCTGAACTTATTGGATTGAGGGCCTTAATCAATAAGTGTTCCTTCTTGACATTGATTTGGGGCTGCGGCATATGGAAAAAATGTTTGTAATTTCAGTTTAATTTGCACTTTTGCCCACTTTGCCTACACTCATTTAAAGCCAGCGTCTGCTTACAAAATCACCAGCATCCTCATCCCCACCACGAACAGGAGCTGGGGCACGAATATTATCGTATAATTCAGGGCAAAACTGAGAGAAAGGGTAGCGCAGCGCATTGAAGCGAACGCATATCTATCATTAATATCGCTGCAGTCAGCTGCTGTTGTGCTAAAAAAAAAAAAAAAAAAGAGCCAGCAGCAAAAAATAAGGCGCATTACGGTCAGATTTGTGTCCGAAGCTGGGAGCACTCTACCAGAGTAGAGTAAAATTTACCTTTTGCTATTATACAATGCAAAGAGAAGACTCCTCCTATCCGATTGGTGTCCGGGTATCAGGGCCTCGCACTGGAGGTGAAGAAAACCGCGTAGAGTCCTGTAATTTGGTTCAAAATTAGCTGAAGCTTAGTTAAATATATAGATAAATCATATAACCATAAATATAATCATTTAAGTTTAACAATTTGCAAGTTGCTTGGAGTTATAGCAACTGAAAGTGCGACTCTTTGATGCAGCATTCAAGCAGCTGTAGTTCCGCGACTCCTTTGCATGGATAGGGTATCCAAAATGGCACACACACACACACACACACATCCATTGGTAGCCATGAATGCTAACACACACACAAACACTCACACACACAGAGGAGCGAATAACCAGGGATCGCTGGCATTGTGTGGCCCTGAGGTTTGCTGTGGCTGCAGGAGCTGGAGCTGGAGCTGCAGCAGTAGCAGTAACTGACTGCTGAACTACTGCCAACTGCAATTAATCATTTTTCTATCATTTTCAGATTTTTTACACACACACACATACCCAGACCCCACACACACCCACCCAAACACACATGCGGTGCATGCTGCATATGCATGAGCCTCGGGTAAGTTATGATTTTTCCACGATGCTGTTCTCCGATTTCTTCCCGCTCCTTTTTTTGTTACCTACTTTCGCTCCACCTCTTGCTCTTGCTTCATTTTTTGGGCGAAAGTTCGGTGCAGCTTGCGGCAAGCTAAGGAACTTAAATGAATGCAATGCAACATGGCAAAAATCACACGATAATTGAGGCACGGCACCTAATGCGTGTGCCATCCAGACAACAGCAGCAGGAAGCAGGAAGAAAGAGTAGAAATTAAATGGATTATTTGCGATTAGTTTTAGTGCAAGAATACTTACATTTGGATTTAAATATATTTTATTGAAAATAGAAATAGAAAATGCATTTCCATAAGAGTGAAACTTGGTAATAATCAAGCCAGTATTTATAGTCTTAGCTCTGTGACTCCCTCCATAGATGTCTTCTTTGTAGCTACATAGGTTGTCCGTTGATGTCAGACAGTCCCTTCATCAGCCCTAATTCTGCGATTTTCTGTAAGTAAAAGATAATTATTAAAACTAGATTTTATCTTTACCGCAGAAGGCAACAATTGCTACATAAAAGTTTCTACGTATGAAACGCACTGTACTGCATAGGTATGTATATCTGATGCAGATGGATAGATCTGCACTGGGCCTACTCGTACATACTCGTACACACATATTTAGAGGCACATGTCTGTCTGCCTTTAACCGCCGTAAATTGCAGCGTCGTCGCCGGCCTAAACGATTTCTAATGGCGAAACACAGCGGGCGCCAACAAACGCCTCCATTTCAGCATTTCAGCATTTCAGCATGGTCCATGCTACCATTCCACATGTGCACATGCTGAACGTTCATCTATCTCCCACATACATACGAGATATGTGCACACAAGCAGCAACATCTTTGCAGGCATACATCTCCATGGACATATGTACATAGATTAGGTCAATTTGCTGGTAACTTTTGATGATGCCCCAGCACATTTACATCCTTTGGCCAAGGCGAGAGCCAAAGGCAGAAACTTTTCGTTGATGGTCCAGGCCAGCCAGCCTGGTCGGTCACTCATTGATGCGGATACATCCGGGATGGGCGTGTGTGGTGTGGTGTATGGTGTGGTGTGTGGATCCAGACGGGGCAGGCATATTGCAGCATCAAGTATAAGCTGCTAACAAGTCAACAAGACCAACAACCAGAAGCTGTAGCAAAGGCAGTGGCAGTGGCAGTGGCATCGGCAGCAGCCAGAACACTGGCAGTCCAATCCAGTCGTGGCTCAGTCAGGCATTCCCATGGGACATTTGGTCAGCTTGGTCAGGTTAAGTGTTTTATGAACTTGTTTCAATGAAGTCATACAAAGTGCGTGGGTATGTCTCTCTGCGTGTGCGTATGCAGGTGCCATGTGGCATATGGCATATGGCATTTGGCATGTGGTGACCGGCAAGGAGGCAACCAAGTCCTGACATCGCCATTCCCATAGCCATCGCATCGTCTGTTGCCATTGAAGCTTTTAATTTGATTTTCGTTCAAGTGTCGTTTTCTGTGGTTCTCCAGTGTCTGTCTCCCCTCTCTGGCCCTTACTTCCTTCCAGTGTGTCCAGTGTGTGTGTGTGTGTCCAGTGTGTGTTTCCGCACTAACTTGAGCCCTTTCTGCCACTGCCTCTACTTTTCTCTACTTCTTTTGGCTTTCTGTTACGGTTTCTACTTTTGGTGCCGTTCCTGTTCGGTTTCTCCTAATGAGGCGGCATTCGTTTGTCTCCAAAATGCTCTAATTAAAGCCAGTTTGGGGCAAAAGTAAATCGAGAACTTTGCCTTTACAACTCAGTTGCTTGTAAAATGCACATTCAAATGCAACTTTTGACATATTATGGCTGGATTTGGGCATTAAGTAACTTTACTGCACTCCGCCATGGACTGATTTTAATTGGAGAGATTTAAAGCAAGGGCTATCCTATCGGTACTATATATTAAGCCACGCTTAGTGGCCCCTCAGTGCCATCCATACCACAGTTTATATACGGTGAAAGTTGAACAACTTCCAGAGACGAGCAGACTTCCAAGCAGTGAGGTCAGAGCTAAGGCTAAGGGCAACAAATAAACAACATAATTAATTTACAGATCAAAAATTGATCTTAAAATATGTCCACTTACCACAGGAACCACTATAAGTCATGGACCACTCAATGAGTGGCTGAAGTCGCCGACAATTGGATCTGTCAGCCATAAAGCCATACTTCTGCAGCAAGCCGCACATCGATGAGCGCGTGGCGGCGCATACCGCAGAGAAGTTCCATTGCAATGCGACTATACATACATCAAATATGTGAAATTACACAATTGCAACAGGTAAATAACACAACATACAATTATTTTAAAGCAAATTTTAAAGCGTTCCCTGTCCGAGTGTTTTTTTGGTGTCGCCAAGTTGGCGGTTGCCATAATGGTCGTCTACATCATATAGGACGCCTGGGATAAGTGGAACACCACACTGGTGATAAGGGGCATTGATACTAAGCTGAGGAACATCACAACGCAGGCATTTCCCGACGCAGTAATTCTCAATTTAAGCCTGGCCTTGGTCGGCAGGGTTGCAGCCCTGGCAGCAGATGCTGTGCCGTCGCTGGGCGGAGGTTCAGCCGGTCAGCGAGGATCGGGACACTTGGAAAGAGTTCATAATAAATGTATTCTTTTAATTAACTGTGTGCTTTAGAGTTGTTTCAAATTTCCAACGGTCCCTGGCCTGTTGCGCGCGCGGATATCGCAGCCATGCGAACAGATGGTCATCGGTTGTTGCTTTGGCGTTGACGACTAAAAATGTGCGAGAGTGTTCCATCCAATTGTCGCCAATGAGGGTCTGTGCGGTGCATTTAATAAGCTGCATGCATGCTCAATTTATAATTGACAATTATTATAGCATAGCATTCACTCAATTCACTCGAAATAAAAGCACTTTACAATTTACTCGCCCGTTTATTGTTCAACTTGTTTGCGAGCAGGCCCTGGTCCGCCATGACGCTCCTATCGATAGCTGCTTATCGATGAGGCGTACTTTTGCTGTATTCCATTAATAAATTACAAGCTATTAGTTATAAATTGCTAATATTAGCACTAAGTTATGAATACAATTAAAATAAGTAACTGAAACAGCAGCGCTTAAATTGAGCGCTTGATTTGTTTTTAACCCCAGTGCAACACTGTTGGGCAGACATATCGATGAGGCGCGTCAATTTGTATCTGTGTGTAATTGATTAATAACAAACTTTAATTTATACCAAGGGCAATAAAAAGTACAAATATTGATCGATTTCAATTATCTTTACAATAAGCTCAGGCTGACAAGAATATATTTTTTAGTTTTCTTCTTGCGCGATAAATGCTCAAAGCCCTGGTCGATAATGACCTAGCGCGCGAGTATTTGAAAATTGGCTAGTTTCACTGAAATTAGATGAGTCCGAGTTAAGCTGTGTTCTATTTTATTTTATTGTCTGTGCACTACATTTGTTAATTGTTATTTAGATCTTCCTGGCGCCGCGCTCTCTCTCAAAGCGTTGCAGAATGTTATCCACGTTGGCCACCAGCTGTTCGAGAACTTCTTCAATCAAACTCACGCGATTGTTGACACTAAGGGGAGAGGAAAAGGTCATAAATGTAACACCAAAACCAATCCATAATCTTGGGCGCCCACCGATACAATTGCCTGTTGTTAACATCGTGTGGAATCTCTTCGAAGTACCGTGCCCTGAAATAGATTTCCAGCTAAAGATATTATTTACTCAACAAGTGGTTGCTAGTGGGCGTACTCCTCTTTGGTCATGTTCTTCCTTAGCACTTTGGGGTCCGTCAACTCAACGGCGTCAGCAACTTTGTGAACGCTTTTCGGTCGAGGTGGCGGCAGAAGACGACGTTTGCGTCCACAGTGGGTTACCCAGTAGAAGGCAGCGGACAGTTTCTTATAGACATACGAGGCCAATTGGCTGCGTCCTTGGGTGATTTCATTCTTCACCGCATTATAAGTTTGCATAATGATGGCCAAGAACATGTTCTTTGTGGCAACAAAGAAACAAAAGACAAACAATTAAACCGAATGAAATGGAAATGAATATCTGAAACTCACCAACAGAATGAAGAAGACGAGCACAATGTAGGTGAGAAAGTAGATGGGGCCGAGCACTCGATTGGATTGCTGAATGAGATTATACTGAAAGTCACCGAGTATCATGCGAATCATGGTCAGGACAGCGGTAACAAAATTATGAAAATCGGGATGCTCAGCGCCGAAGAGCAGCAGACCCAACTGGGCATAGGCCAAGAAAACAATGCCAAACAAAATGCTGAAACCAATTAAATCTTTGGAGCACTAAAAGGAGCAGAGGAAACAAATCAAAGTTGTAAATAAATTGGGAATAATCTCACTTACCCTTCTCAGTGTCGTTGTAAACTGAATGAGTGTCTTGTTGAAGCTAATAAATTTGAATATTTTAATCCAAACGAGAAATGCCAGCACAGCCATCATGTCCACATAGACCAAGTTCGATAAGCACAGATAGTCGATGCTCTGATAACTCTCTTCAGCGCGTGCCTTGGATAAAATTGATTTCATTCGAAATGTGTGCCAAATGTTGTACACCAAAGCGATGTAACTTAGCTGCAGGAATGATAAATCAAATCGAATGGCAGAAACAACTTAAAATGCAATTACCACCAGCACAACATTGTCGAGAATGTTTAGTAAGGATTTGTAGTACTTTTTAAAGCCCGATTTGTACATTTCGTTGATCTCATAGATGGTGTAGTAGAACACCATTATGTACCAGAATATGTAGACCACGGTCATGGATAGACTGAGGTCCGTGAAGAATGAATATTCTTTGACTGTCTGCAGATGCGCCTGCGGTATGACACCACCCGTGGGCGGAATTTCAGCAATTAATCTGTGCGGAAAAAAGGAAACTTTAAACTTTATCGGGAAGGAGTAACCCCCTCCATACTTGACGCTCTGAAAAATGTCTTTGTTGTCGCTAAACAGATTGAACTCCAGCAAGCAGAGCCGCGAGCCGCGATCCAACCAGTTGATAGTCTTCAGTTTATTTATGATCTGCAAATTCTCCTGCTTATCGTAGGTCAGATCCACAGTATACCCGCCCGAGCGATAGTAGGCCAATAAAGTCATAATTGGAGTGGCGCCTAAATCTCCCATCGTGTGATATCGCGACTCCTTGTGCCACTCGCTGTTCTCTTCGGCCTCCACGGAATACGCGGGATAGCAAATGTTGAAGTTCTGCGTAAAGCCAGTGTCCACGTGGCAAGTGTCCTTGCTGACGCGTATCTGCCGCAGTCGTGGTGGGCCCAGCAACAGATTCTCCTGCAGAAACATTCGACCCTGCAGGGTGGTAAAATAAGAGCTGTTCACAGCCCACGGGGGAGCAGCTCGGGCAGCGGGCTCTCTTTTCCTCCCAGAGTATTCCTTCTCCCTGGACTTCCCTGACTTCGATTCTCTTTTAGCTTTGCTCTCCGATTCGTATTTTAGGTTATCGGTCATATCTCCGTGTAAAGTGTTCACAAAGTTGTATATCAAGTAGTCCCACCAATCTGGCACGGTGAGCATTTTCTCAAAGGATACTGTCACGGATGGCACCACCGTTAGGTTGCGTGTAACAAATAATTTCTTAATCGTATCGTTAAAGTAGAACATGTGAGAGTGACGCACGGACAACGTAACTGCACGAAAAGTAACGGCTTTAGATGCAGCTCGCAGCATTAGCGAGTGTGCGAACCAATTCGGAAATTGCATTTCGGTTCAAGTCCAAACTCACCCAGAGATGTGAGAAAAAGGAAAATGATGAAAATTCCAAACTCCACGAGAGCTTCGCGCACCTCCTCGTCGGTTGTATAGAGAATTCGCGATGACTTCACTTTTACATGTTGTGGAATTGGGGTCTCGCGTCCAACTTCATTAATGGGTGTTCCCCTTTTTTGACTTGCGCCAATTTCCACCTTCTTTCGTCGGAATAAACGACGTTTCTGGCGGTTTGCTGCTTCTGGTACCTTTATTCGGACAGGAGTCGCAGCTGCTGGGGCGCCGGGTGCATGCTTGGGCAACTTCATCGTGGCTAGTGCCGGAATTTCATGTGCCGCCCTTGGTGACGGGCCGGGTTGTTCATCCTCTGCATCCGAGCACATTTTCCTTTATAAATGTTTATATTTATTTGGGAAAAATGTCTTGAAATGAAAGTTTAGAAACAGCTTGCTGTGTCTCGCATGTACCCATGTACAGTCCCATGATTACAAAAGTAGAGCAGTTATATTACAAAACGAATTTCGCTGCTGTAATCGCAGCAGAAAACAAATTTCAACGGAGTCACAGAATTCCGAAAGAATTAATTTGTGTTATTATGTTCACCAACCAAATTCGGAATAAGGTTGAAAACTCGGATACAACAGCGTCACCACTTTTATAGCGGAACTCAGTCAGAAAATGCATACATTTTACACTTACATTTTTCATTATTTGCTACATCTGTTTTAGCTCACTCTCCTCCGTCAGAGGGAGACACAGCTGGCAGATGCCCCGCAGTAGGAGGTGGGAGATTGCCGCTCAAAATGAATTCCTTGTTGCTGGCTATAAATTTTGATTCGATCTGCTATCTAATATGAAACACAAAACGGATGAGTTTTTGAATGGTTGATTGATTTATTGATTGATTATATTTGGCATAGGCCACATCAATTTTGCACACTTTATTTTGTGTATGACAAAGTAATAACTGAATTAATTAGAATTAATAAATTTATTTGTCATCATCCGGCAAGCTGAGGGCGGCTTGATGGGACGCCGCTTCCCTGGTATCTCTCTTCTCACTTCTCCTCGCACCACTCGTTCTCCTTGCGCACCTGCTCTTCCTCGGCGGGAGTGAAATCCTTTTTGATGTTGAAAGTCTTACGGATCTCCTCTGGAGTTTTGCCCTTGATCATGTTTGCGACGGTCTTGCAGGTCAGTTCGAGCAAGCCCTTGATATCCAGGTAGTTTGCGGCCAATATCAACTCGAAAAGTGTGCCCTGGTCGACCTTAAGGAAGTCGGCGTCCCACGAGATTATGTCGTCGGTGCGCTTCTCCTTGCTCTCGTCATCTTCAGTCGGCTGGGGATCGTCCTTATGGTAGTGGGCCCACGTCAGTACCTTGCGCAAAATTGTGGAATTCACATTTGGCAGTGGAACAATGGCATTTTCATCATCTTCCATTCCGCAGTCCTCCAGCATTGTCTTGATAGTGCCTGAGCACTTCGCGATTTGGATGTCGGTGTCGAAAATTTCCTCATCCGAAGACTGCAGTTTAATACTCGGCATTTTGAGTTTGGTTTTTTCTGGAAAAGAAATATGAGATTTATAAAAATAGGGGAAAACGCAAGACACAATTTCTAGAAAAACGCGCACACGCAAACACACATACATATGCAGGCACGCGTCAATGGAATGATGATGAGTATTTCAGTAGAAATACAAAAACATTCATATACGAATACGCCTGTGTGTGCGCGCTTATTTCTCCCTGTGCATCTCCCTTTAATTGGTTAAACACTCACCGTTACGTACTGTTTAAGTTTAATATGCAACACAAGTTTTGTGAAAAGATAAATTTGTTGTTTGTAAAGTTTACAAATTGTGAAGCAACTTATTGATAAAGAATTTCGTTTGACCCTCAGAAATATACCGAACTAAGCCGTAAATATACCGAAAATCTTAAAACATTTCCTTGAATTTGATGTTCTATATAATATTACCAGTGTTCATTCAGCAAACAACTCTTTTCTGAGTTCCAAATTTTTAGTAGCATTTGTACCTGGTCAATGCGGACTTATCGTCTGCGACCAACCAATTTCGCTGTAGCGATTGAATTAAAAAAAAAATAATATTACCAGCAGTTAGGATTCTCAGCGGCAAAACTATTATTTTGGGAGTATTTCGGTATATTTCTGAGGGTCAGGACGTTTCTTTTTTTCGATAAATCCGAGGTCACACTGGCCCTATCTTGGGTGTCGAAAAAAAATACGGTATCGGAAAATTATAACGCGGAAAAGAATCTCCGTCAGAGACCGAACCCATTTTGTAAATTGAATTAACTAAATGCATCTCCTGGAACGGACCATGTTCACCTGCGCGCTACGAAAATGATACTTCGATATCGGTGAACGCGTTACAAGAAATAAAAGTTAATGAGGCAAAAGCAGAGTGGTAGAAAAAAGGCATACATACATACGCACGCTCGTCGACGTCGTCGTTGCGAAGGAATATATGTATCTGCATATGTATGTGCGTGTGTATGCGTCGCGTACACATAAGTGTGGTGGCTGCAGCTTCTAGCAGTGAGTCGGAGCCTGTCTCCAATCGCATTGGAGGAGGGGGAGCAGAACTGGCTGGCGAAGCGGAAGGAAAGATTGATCGAGCGGCTGGAAGTGGAAGTGGGAGTGGGTGGGAGCGAGCGATAGAGGTATGGACGGCGGCGATTGAATGTTTTCGGGCTTAAAGACGTGAAAATGATTTGGCATAGCAGAGCAGCCACCAACAGCGACGCCGAAGGCTCCATCGTATTCGTAAGGGCCAGAGACCCTACCAACGGCTTCTATTCCAGCCCACTGTGATATTTTTCGGATGCAAACCCAGACGAAAATCCAGCAACAACCGAAAACAAGCCTGTACGTGCTCTGTCCAAGTGTGTGTGCATGTCTCTGCCGACGACGCAACAAAAAAAAAAAAAAACACATTGGAAGGTAGCAGCAGAACGGCAGACAAAGCATCAGGCACGGCCCCGAAGACAAAGAGAGGAGAGAAGCGAAGCATCAGCCAGTAGCGCCTTTGTGAATAATTCATTTAAGGTAATGTTTACAAAAACCGAAAAATCAAGAGAAAAGAATTATAAACATTTTGTATGTATATGTTTGCTTGTTTGTAGTGTGTGCGATTATACGTGTGTATTTCGTTCCTGTGTAATAGGCGCCGCCATTTTTCGTTCCCATGTAACAAGCAAGCTCTGCAAATGTTCGCCTAGGGTTATCAAGGCATTTATAAATGTTTCTCTCGACAAGCTCTCGTGGCTTTTGAGCAGTGCCAATCCAGCTAAAGTATCGATGTTGCTCACAGTTTGTTAGCAGAGCAATTATTGCAATTATCACTCCACTAATCGTCGTATTATACTAAACATCAAGATCAGTCTAAATGTATTGAAAGGCACAGACAGAATGAGATAGCGCGCTATATTAATTTGTTCTACTGCCCGTCTCCTAAGTGCTATGAGTCCCTATTTTCCGGCACCCTCAATTGATAATTCCCAGCACCAACTAATTATTGCAAAGTATTAATCTATCGTTTCTCGCTCACACTGTATGGCATAAATTATAGATGGTATTACTGCCTTAACTTAAAGTGTAGTGGATATGAGCATAACAAGTGAAGATCAAAGCCAAATAAAGCTGTCACAAACAAATATCTGCTGTTTGGCAACCCTTTTTTCACACTCACCTATTCTCACTGCGCATATGCTGCTCTCTTTTCGCTCTTGCTTGCTCGCAAATCGCAAACACAACAGGAACGAACAATACATACACCACATACATGCTTGTGCATATGTTTGTGTAAAACAGCTGGAGAACCGCAATTTGCAATCGAGCCCTTGCTCAAGCAACAAATTTGATTCCTATTTTTCCGTCCCAAGTAATTTCTAAGAAAATGGGCATAAACGAGCAGCCACCAACTGATACAGCTTTATTATCGTAACACAGCTTCTAACATACAATTATTTTTAATTGTAAATACCAAATAGTCGCACATGCATATCGATAATCAAATTAGTTGCAATAATGGTTTACGCTTTTGTGTCGGTTCTGTAATTATATATTAAAAAAAAAAACGGATTTGTTAAATTTTAGAATATATGTACTTATTTTGTCTGGCTGGTCGCCACGGCTTTTTGTTGCACAGATGCTTCCCAAGTCAATTGATTTTTCGCACGTGTTTGTGCGTGTGCGGTTTGTCTGGAGAGGACGCGTGGGAGAGAGACGGTAACAAGAGAGCGCCGTCTGTCGTCGACCCCATGTAACACCTAAAACTACATATGTACATACACCGTGCACTCTCTCTTTCTCTCCCCCTATAACCCTGCCGATTCAAACGAAGCCGTAAAAAATATCTAAACCACATTTGATTTGTAAATAATTTCAATTGCTGAACCATAAATCAGCTGTTTCCATGCAACTCCATCCCTGTGGCTAAATTTCAAAGCCGATACGTACATACCGACATACGTTTTAGCGATTTTAAACACTATCGGTTTTTCCTCTGTGGAGAGAGACACTTGTAATGGATTCACTTTTAGTGGTGAAGGTAAAAGAAACCAACAATTAACGAGAAGGGACGTGTGAGACGCTTCTTACGCGTCACAACTTTTATACCCGGCACTCAGTACTACTTCTGCACCTTAGCGGTGTTTTGTCAAATACAGCATACAGCAGTCCGGAGCCAAAATTTGGTGGCTTTAGCTCTTATAGTATCTGAGAACTAGCCGAAAAACAAGACGGATGGACGGACAGACGGTCCGGTTCTCCGATTTACTCTTCGAGTACCGGGTATAAAAAGCATGTTCATCTATGTACATATTATCTGTCGTTAGACATGCTAGTCTAGACGTGTATATAGTTTAATGTATGTATATATAATATTTGAACATAATACCGTTGATAAATATCCCGGAATTTTATTGCCATCTCGTTTCGTTCTGTGGAAATGAATATGAAGAGTAGAGTAGGGCAGCTGCACAAGGTTGCCGCACGGAAGGAAAAGAGAAAAAAACAGTTGGTAATTTGAATCTGAAAACAGCTGTTGGGCGGTGTGAAATTACGAATTTGAAACGATTGATTATGTCGTCGACTACTAGCTGCAATATTTAATGAGAAAGTGTTTATTTTTTGTTTTTCCTTTTCCAGACTCTTGCAGAATGGTCGTCGGCTCGAATCACACGCGTCGTGGCGAAACTGGCAGTAGATTTACAAACAGCAGCTCCAACAGTAACGGGAACAGCACCGCCAGCAGCACAAGTGGCGGCACCACCTCCACCACCAGCTCAACGTCTTCAGTAGCTAGCAGCGAGGGGACGGCAGCGGCGGCGGCTCTTTTGTCGTCAATGTCCCAAAAAAGCCAAAATGCCGCCCATGCACCACCCACAACAGCGAACATCCACCATCAGCTGCCGCAACCGACGATAGCAACGCAGACGACGACGAACCACCATCAGCCCCATCATCCCCATTACCAGCAGTCGCAGGCACACAACCACCAACACCAGCAGCATCAATCCTCAAACGGAATCGGTGGAGGCGGTGGAGCAGGAACAGGCGCTGGTGGCGGTGGAGGAAGTACCCTCAATGGCTGTAATGGCAGCGCCGTCAGTCGGTTGTCACAATCCACTGGGATGTCGCCGCGTGAACTCTCGGAGAATGACGATCTGGCAACATCGCTTATACTGGATCCACATCTTGGCTTCCAAACCCACAAGATGAACATACGCTTCCGCCCCCTCAAGGTTGACACGCAGCATCTGAAGGCGATCGTAGATGATTTCATCCATGGTCAGAACTATGACGTGGCCATACAGCGCATCTACGATGGCCCTTGGATACCGCGACCACTGAAAAACAAGAACAAAATCGCCACCAAGCGTTTGCATGACCACGTAAGATGACCTTCCATGCCCACATTCCATCCATCCTGATGTCTGACCCACAAACTGATTTCAATCTTTCTCTTTGCAGATTGTACGATATTTGCGAGTGTTTGACAAGGACAGTGGGTTCGCCATTGAGGCTTGCTACCGGTACTCCCTGGAGGAGCAGCGCGGCGCCAAGATCAGTTCAACGAAGCGCTGGTCCAAGAACGAAAAGATCGAGTGCCTGGTTGGCTGCATTGCCGAGCTGACCGAGACCGAGGAGGCAGCCCTCTTACACTCAGGCAAAAATGATTTCTCTGTGATGTATAGCTGCAGAAAGAACTGCGCCCAACTCTGGCTGGGACCGGCGGCTTATATCAATCACGATTGTCGGGCCAACTGCAAATTCCTAGCCACCGGGCGCGACACAGCCTGCGTGAAGGTGTTGCGCGACATTGAGGTGGGCGAGGAGATTACTTGCTTCTACGGCGAGGACTTCTTTGGGGACAGCAACCGGTACTGCGAGTGCGAGACGTGCGAGAGACGTGGAACGGGTGCATTTGCCGGCAAGCACAACAGACATTTGGATGATGCCACTGGCCTGGTGCTGGGTCTCACCTCCGGCCTGGGTCTGACCAGTGGCGGTGCTGGCAACGGAGGCGGCTACCGCCTCCGCGAAACCGACAATCGCATCAATCGCATTAAGAGCCGCGCTAACTCAACCAACAGCACTTCGAATAGCAACAGCAACACGAACGATTCCACCGGCACCAACGACAGCAGCAGCACCAGCGCCAGCATTGCCAGCAATGGAGTAGCCCCAATGGCAGTGCCCACATCCCAGCAGCCATCACAGGCGGCGGTCGGTCGTGGGTCGGGCAAAGATACGGGATCTGTGCCGCCACCGGGATCTACAGCAGCAGCAGCAGCCGCCGCCGTATCCCTGATGGAGAAAAAGCTGCCGAACTTGGTTGTTTCGCCCCTGACCATGAAGGAGCTGCGTCAGAAGGGTATGACCAAGTACGATGCAGAAATGATTATGGCCAATGCTGCCTACCAGCAGCAGCATAATCATCATCAGCATCACCAGCACTTTTTGCATCATCACCACCACGGACAGCATGCCAGCACCGGGGCCGAGGCCACGGCCGCTGTTCAGCAGCTGGCGATGCAGAAGCCTGGCGTGGTACCCGTGACATGCACTGGAGAAGGAGCTGGCGCTGGAGTAGGAGTAGGACAAGGCGCTTGCGCCGCTGGTGGAACCATTTCCTCCACATCCAGTACGGAATTGAATGGTCGACCAAATACCCTGCGCAAGTCCATTCGTGTTAACAGCACTAGCAGCAGCATCTCTACAGCCTCCACGGATGAGGTGGTGGCAGCCAGTGGACCGTCGATGCCCCTACCATTGCCACTGACAATACCAATGTCGGCCAAGTCCGCTGTGGTGCTGGTGACAAGGTGCAAGCCGGCCATGGCCATTGCGGCGCTGCATCAGCGACAACAGAGGCAGCTGCGGCGCAGCGAGCGGCAAACAAATCGTGGTGGTCAGAAGGATAAATCACTGGGGAAATATATCACAGACAGCGAGAGCAGCGATACCGATCATCAGCGCGGTGAGCGTCAGCGGGTGAAAGCGCGCGGAGTCGATGAGCATCAGCAGCCCACAAAAGTGTTTGCTATGGACGGTGAGCAGCAGCAGCAACAGCAGGAGAAGCGCGTGACTCGGAATAGTGCAGGGAGAGCTGCTGCAGCAGCAGCAGCAGCGGCAGCATCATCATCGGCACCGGCAACAACAGGAGGACTAGGAAGATTAGTCACTGCCCATAATAGTAGTAACATAACAGCAGCGACAGCAACACCCACAGCCACAAGTAGCAGCAGCAGCAGCAACAAAACAACAACGATTACAAATTGTAATAATCATAATAGTAATGATAGCAGTAGAATTAATATTAATTCTAATCTTAGAGGTAGACATAGTGTTAAATCAAAGAAGCCAGCACCAAGTGAGGCCTCATCCATACCCACATCCACGTCCTCAGTTGAAGCACAGTCCCTACACCAGTCCCAGCAGCAGAATCAGCAGCAGCAGCAGAAGGCAACGCGTCGCAGTCGCAGCAGCAGTCCTGCCTATAAGAAAAATCTTTTGGACACCTTTAACCAAGCGATTGCTTCGTCCCATCTTACAACGGATGAGAATCCATCTAAGCAGAAGCGTAGTCGTCGTGCCGCTGCACTGGTTGCAGCTCAGCACATCCATTGCGATGCAACGGGAATGGGATTCGGAGCAAAAGCACCACCAACACCTGCAGCCAGCAGTCAGCGCAAAAGACATCAACTAGCAAGTGAAGGAACAGCAGCAGCAACTGCAGCAGTAGGTGTAGCCAGCGAGAAAGCATCCAACATCCTGTCCAGCAGCAGTGTGGAGCCCCTACTGAAGACACCCGAGCGTCGGCTGAAGCTCACGCTGCGAATGAAGCGATCTCCCATACTGGATGAAGTCATTGAGCTGGGCACCAGCTTCAGCGATGAGCGGCATCAGGCCCGGCACAATGGAGCTATGGGCGGCGGTCGTACTGCAGGCGGGAATGGAGCTAGCTCAGGATCGGGAGGAGCGAGTGGCAGTGCGAATATGACCGGATCAGAGGGGATTGGCGTTGAGTATGAGATTCTACGCATGGAAGGCATTTCGGAGCATGGGAACGATGATGATGACGACGACGATGAGGACGATGACGATGACGATGAAGAGGAGGAGGACGCTGACGCTGAAGCTGAAGCTGATGCTGAAGATCAGCAGCCCGAACAGGTTGAAGTGCAGCAACAGCAGGCTGCACCGCTCGTGGCAGCACCACCCAGTACCAGTCACTACGAGCCGCTCTCAAAGAAGCAGAGGAAGAAGCAGCGAGGCTGCAGCAGCCAGCGGCGATCACCGGATCCCAGCTCGTGCAGCAGCACCGTCTACGTGACGCCGCAGAAGAAGCGACTTCGCTTAATTTTCGGCAACGAGTCGCACACCATTGACATTCCACCAACGGGCGAGGGAGCAGCAGGAGCTAGAGCAGAAGCCAGCGGAGTGGATGACCTGCACAGCAGCAGCGGCGGCGGAGTGAGTGCAAGTGACGATTCGTTGAATGCCTCGTACGCCAGCAGCGGCAGCAGCATGACGGTCAATACCTCCTCCCAAACGACGACTAGTGGCAACAGCAGCGACGATGGGCCATCTTTCTCCGCGTCCTCTGGTGCGGGCAATGTGCAAACGGAGGGCATGGACTCGACCACGCTGGTGGCACCAGCACAGACACCACAGTCGCCAACTTCCTCGACCAGCGGCCCCTTCTATTCGGCCTGCACCTCCACCACCAGCACCCACTACTTCCCCAGTAGCAAGCGACGTGGCGGAACAGGATCTGCGCCCGGCGAGGAGGCAGCATCGTACATCAATTACTATCAGAGTGGTGGCTCGGCGATGCTTGGCAAGTACGGGGCCACGAAGCAGATGACTTCCAGCCCCGGCCAGGGGCAGGCTATTGTGAGCAGCAGCAGCGGCGGAAGTGGGGGAGGAGGAGCAGTTCTTGGATTCCTGCCACAATCGTTGACCATTCCCAAGCACACTTTCGGCACCTGCGCCCTGCTGCCCCCCACTAGCTTTGCCAGTCTCCAGCAACCGACGCAGCCGCCGGCAACGCTGCTGCCGCCAAATCATCAGCAGCAGCAGGCGAAGACCAGTGTGGCCACATCAACGTCCGCCTCCTGCTCGCCGCCTGTGCACAACCATCATCATCATCAAAGCCAGCAGCACCAGAATCCACATCATAACCACCATATCCAGCAATAACGAACGACTGATCTCCAAGTAACTTGACTAAGGTCCGCTGACATTGCCCACAACCGAAGGCACGGCCAGAAAAGGAGAAGAATGAAGATAAAGAGAAGAAGGAGGAGGAGGAGTAATGAGAATTTGTGTATGCGCTGCTTGCGTCGTCGTTGCCTCTGCTGCTGATCTGCCGTTAACCATTAAAACCGATTCCCAATCCCCCAAACAGTCGCACATCAGTTTTAGCCATTATTAGCCTTAGCGGAGATCCATAACCCGTTATCCATTACTTCAAAGTAACCCACCCTGGTGTCCATGCATTTTTACCCCACGCCCCGCCCCACCGCATTAGCATCTCATATTCAGTTCTAACCTCATTTTTTGTATAGGACCAACCCATGCCCCGTTGCATTAGTTCTGGTCCTGGTGCCAGGTTCTGGTTGCGGCGCTCTGTGCCAGGTGCCTGGTGCCTGTCCTGGATGCAAACGAGAATCAATTGAACAAAAGAACTCGAGAAATTGCAAAAAATTTCGATTTTAGAGACACACAGAGACGAAAAAGAAAATAAGAAGTACAAACGAAAATCAAGTGGAAATATTTGATTATAACTTACTTTTTTTTGCTTTCTTCTATTTCTCGTTCTCTCTTTATCTCTCCCACTCTCTCTCTATCTATCTCTCTCTCCCTCTCTGTGTCTTCCTCAAACCCGTGGATCCCCCTTCCCCCGTGTTGCCCTGTTTGGTTACGTGTGCGTGCCCGTGCATGCGTTTGTGTTGTGTGTTGTGCGTGTGTCTGTGCTTTTCTTTTTTCCTTTTGCCTTTGCAGATGAAAGTTTAAAGCATAAAAGTAGGAGAAAAGATGCCGAAAAAATCATGCAGCAGCAGAATAACGACAGCAACAACAACAACTACAACAGCAACAGTGTCGGCAGCAGCAGCAGCTCCATCATCAGCCCCAACTGTAAAAGGAGCAACAGCAGCAGCAACGGCAACAATTTAATCGTTAAAAAATTGAGAATCGAACTGAATCGCATACAAATCATGTACAGTTGAGCCAGTGGATGTCGCGGGGCAAAGGTGACAGGAGACTTGCTCAACCTCAACCTCAGCAGTGGAGCAGCAAGCAGCAGAAATCAGAGGAGCTTCTCGCTCTACGGGTAACATTTTACAAATACAAAGGGGACAAGAAAAAGGAGGAGGGAGGATGTGACGCAGGAAGCCAGCCGCAAAAACATACAAACCAGAAAACAAAACAATATTCTAAATGCAATGCACACACGACACAACGCAATTAGCAGCGGTACATACGCCTTACAACTAACGTTAAATTTATGAAAAATTATATATACAATAGCGTATGTATATATAACAGATATATATATATTCAAGATATATGTAAAAGCATTGCAAAAATACATACATACATAAATAGTACGTTACGTTACGTTACGTGTGTGTATGTATTGTACATCTCCATGTGTAGTTGTTAGAGAGAGTCCCACAAAAGCCAATCCAACAATAACAGCAACAATAGCGCAGCATCAGCCACTGAAACAGCAAATAGCAATATTAAACAAACAAAAAAACTGAATTGAATAATTTATATATACAATACATTATACTTACTAGACGCGATAATTAAATATACATAAAGCGAGAACTTAGCGTACCAGAATTTCACACACAAAAAACAAAACAAGCAAAAACGAAAACAAATCAACAAATTAAAATGTATATAAATAACAGATTTAAAAATATATATAAAAAAGTATCAAAATCGAACCGAACAAGACAAGAACCGAGAAATTACCTTTCCGAAATAATAATGCAAAAAATACAAAATAAAACTCTGGAAAATCGAAGCGAGAAAAAGTGGGCAAATAATAGTTCGTTCCACTGGCAACTGGAAGGCCAAGCCCCCTCACTCCTATTATTTGAACCATGTTACCCGCATAATCACTTTTTGTAATCATATTTTTTTGTTGACCATTGATATATGGATGGATGGATGGATGGATGGCCTCCCCTGCCTTACATTTATCAACAATTTCTTAGTGTCTTTTGTGTTGTGTTTCCCACTTTTCAGTTTAGTTCAGTTAAGAGTTGATTTGATTGTGGAACCGCAGCAGGAACACTACACCTTCCATTTAACACCTTTCCCCGCCCCACCACACACACACACACACACGCATATGCAAAACCACAAAATGTAATTTGGCTTGCCCGAATTCAGTTTTGTTTTATATTAATTTTATACGATACGAATAACGTACATACAATATACATCCGCGCATACATGCATACACGCAATGGGTATGACTATGATTTTTTTAAAACAATAATCTAATCTTTTTTTCTCTTTACGAATAAGTTGAACTGTAGCATATTACATATAATTATATTATCTATACATTAATCATATTTGATATGCATATATCTATTATATTATACACCTTATTCATATATGTATGTGTAACTACTGTGTATTATTTTGTAAGCCACAAACAATTCAAGCAAGAGTGGCGAAACCAAGCCAGCCACCAACATTCATAATAAACTAAAGAGAACATTTAGTTTTTACAAAATTGCATGTTGCTCTGTTTACTTTTTACTTTTACTCTGTCGGTGCTTATCCGTTTCCCCACTACAACACCCAGGACTATCCATCCATCCACCCATCCATTCATGTGACATCAAGAAACAAAGAAATTCACGCACAATCATTATTTAATGTCTTTTTATTTGATTGATAAATATGATTTGAATTTCTTTGGTGTTTTGAACCTGCCTACCATTGGATATATTTCCATTCCCAAGATTCAACCAAACAAAAGGAATTTACGTATATTCAGGACTTTCTTCTTTATTTGTGTAAAAAGTTGAGTTCCTTACATCTAAGAGTTTACTGAATCCATTGGCGCCGTACTGCTGTTCATGTTAATCTGATCCTGGAGGTTGTGAGGTGTGTCTGTCCTCAAATATCCCGGGGCTGGCCCAAGGAATATGGGTGCATGCTGCAAGCCGTTTCTTGGAGGAGAACGATGTGGTGTGGTGTTGTGTTTTGTTGGGAAGGAGACGCTTCATATGGTTCAGTCTAGTGACCGTACTTCTGAAAATCCCACTCGCGATTGTCCAGGGGGCACACCTGGCGTGTCTTCAGCCAACGCGAGATGCAATGAAAATGGAAGGCGTGATTGCAAACGCCCCAGGCCACGGTGCACTCCTCGCTAGTGGCAGAGGCCTGATTAGCCTGGCACTCGATGCATAAATCCATAATGTGGTTGCGGCAAATAGCGCAATTGTCGACAACGATATCTGCGAATGTTTGATTTAGTTGCATTTATGTTTCGAATTTCACTGCTGGAACCGGCAGACAAAGAGATAGTCCGAGTGCCTTTCTCTCTCTCTCACGTTCTCTATATTGAAAATATTTTACTAACCCCAGGCCCAAAGAGCCACGGCGTTCCACTGATAATTGCAGAAAGGAGCAGCAAAGAAAAGAAAAATTGCAAAAATAGGGTTTGTTAATAAATTCCCATTGAACACACCACAGCACACGCACTGATTCACATACGCAGCGGTGTGCGCATTGAGTGCCTGAAAATGCTGTGTGTGCTGCATTTGTAAACTTACTTTTTTAACATCGAAACGCTTCTTTTCGCCCTTGCTGCTGCTGGAGGGCACTTCGAATTCTTCCTCGTCAACCTCCATATTTCTGTCCATTTATTTGAAAAGCTAGAAAAACTAAAAAATTTCACAATTTGCTGATGATATTAACTACAATGTGACCGCTCACTATTAAATATATCCTTACAAGTATGCCGGAATATGCCTACTCATTTGTAAAAAAATACCGAAAACATATTTTTCGCTGAACAGAGTGTACCCAGGTTAATTGTTATAAAAATAAATAAATAATATTAAATTTAAATAATTACAAATAAAACTATTAATTTTTGGTTTTCCGGCGCTCCTGTATTTGCAATTGTTTTTGATCAAAGTGATTTATCTTCTCGTAATTTGTAACAAACGGCCTCAACAGAGATTTTACACGATGAATCGATAACTGAATCGAACTGTTGCCCTGATCAATTTTTTTTAAATAAATATTTATAAAAGAGGCACAATCTAAATTACACTGGCAATAGTGTAAGTTGTAAGTCAATTCATCAGTAAGTCATATATTTTTTATCTTTTGCAATTAAATTTCGTTTTAATGTATAAAATATAATTTACTTCCATTGCAGTGAGAAAAATGTTGCTGTTATGAAAAGTAAATCGGAAATAATTGGCGAAAGTGAAACCGCAACCGGAAATCTCTCCGGTGTGGACCCAGATGAATATGAACATCCCAAAGATTTGCAGATATATTTCTCTCAATAAATTAGTTTATAAAAATGTTGCATTTAGGTTCCCCTCCGCACTTTTAGCCAACCTTTCGTTGGGCTGCCGATTTTTTCCTTTTCTTCTTGGGCGCCTGTCGCTTACGGCCCTGCTAGGAGGTAGCACCCTTGTTTCCCGGCTCCCGGGCGCGGGTATCGCTTCGGTCGCGCTTGACCACCGGCAGCCGCGTCCAGATATAGCCACCAGACCGCTGTCCCGTGTACTCGTCGATGTCCGGCAAGGGGAACGGCGTGCTGCGGTCGTAGTAGTAGTTACTCGGCGCATGCATCACAAACTCCAGGAAGCAGAGCTTGCGCGAGAGCTCCTCGTCGGGCCCTGAAAGAGAGAGAAAAACGTAAGAAAGGTTGCAGCATGACGCGTGTGCGTGGCTCACCGATTAGGTAGGTGGCCGGATCGAAGCAGTCCTGTGGATCGGGACTGTCCTGCGTGGGTATTAGCCAGGTGAGGAAGGCAGACTTCTCGCAGTAGGCGTCAATCAGTAGACCGCGGATCTGGGCGTAGTACAGCTTCTGCTGGCCATCGACAATGCTCACAATGTCACCGATCTGCATGTAGCTGCCCTTGTAGAACACACTCTTCACGAATTTGGTGCACGCCTGCACCTTGGGCGTCTTCTGGGCGGGCCGCTTGAAGATGGCTCGCCGATTTCTGGCACCTTGTGCGCCGCCGGCGCTGCCAGCGCCAGCTTTGGCATGCGCCTTGCTGTTGCCCGCATGCGATCCGGCTCCGTACGAATGAGCGGTGGAGCCTGGTCCATTGGGATTGCCATTGTAGCCATTGGCCTGTCCGCCATTCTCTCCGACGCCCGAGCGTCCCGTCAGCTTCGCCTTGAAGCGAGTGGCCCGCGTACTCTTGCGCAGGCGCTTCATTATTGTGGGCGTCTGATTTCCGGGAGTTGCGGCCGCTGACGTTCCATTGATGCTGCTCCTCGTGATCTTGCCGCCGCGTTTCGTGGCCCGAGAAGTTGTGGCCTCTGGCGCGGCTTGAACCACCGCCTCTTCCTTGATCTTCTCACTTCCTTCGGTCTCGGCTGGCGTGCCTTTGGCGCTCGCCCCTTTTGCTGGGGCTGCTGAGGCTGGTGCTGGTGCTGCTGGGGTTTCGGGTGGCTTCACAACAATTTTGACAGGTTGCTCATGGCTGCTTTGTGGCTTGGCCGCCTCTGGTTCCGCAGCTTTGGCGAGCGTCGTGGCCTCCTGCACGCTCTCCTCTGGCTGGCTGGGTTCTGATATCGGTGGGTTTTCCGGCTCTTCTGTTGTTGGCACTGGTTCGGCAACGGGTGCATCCACTAGAGCATTATTTTCAGTTTCTGATTTGATTGGGTTTTCTTTAGTTATCCCCTGTTTGGCAGACGCACAGGCCCCGCACAGTGCCTCGGCATCGCCGCTGTCAGCGTTGGTGGCAGTCTCCGGAGGCTGGCAGGGCTGTTCCTTTGCACTGGCCTTGCCGCACTTGCTGCACTGCTCTGGGATCGGGTTGGAATCTATAGACATGGCTGCTTGCTGGCCAATCAGCTACGGATTCAGCCCTTTGTTTTGATATAAACAAAGTTTCTGCAATTCCAAATGCAGAGTTTTTTAATCATGCGTCAGTGTTGATTAATATCGCAGAGTGGCTGCAATAATGAAATTATATAGGGTGGTCCCGTCGGAAAAACGGCTCCACTAACAATGCCGTCAATATGTTCGAGTGAAAGGGTTCTGCTTGTGAAACGACAATATTGAAACGACAAAAGAGTGTGCTGATTAAGCCTTTGATGAAATGGGGTTTAAGGTTGCCCAATGAAAGAAAAAGAGTTGAAGTTTCGTCCGAACGCACTGAAATCTAATGGGGTAAAAACGAAGCGAAGCCAGCCTACGAACACCTTATCTAATTGCATCATGCACAGAACTGAATATTCGTTAATACTAAAAAATACCATACCTTATAATGAAATATTCTTGATATATCCTCTAAATGACTAAATTGACTAAAAATCAACATAAGAAAGTTAGCACATTGTTGGTAAGGAGGGTTTAAACTAGGAACTATATAACAAAAAGGAAATTTCTTTTTACATTGGTTGCTTAAATATTGTTGTGATCTTTTTGTCAAGGCAACCATGTAAAAAACTCTTTCGGTCGATTGCTTGATCTGGTCTTTGTCTCGGATCCGACCGTAGCGTTGTTAACACGAGCACTCCCGCTCACTATACCTGAAGACTGCTATCATCCTACTTTCGAAGTGTCGATAGATATTGGACCAACTGTATCGGATCGTGCGGGTAGGCTATCTGAACGCGTCCGCTGCTTTCGTAAAGCCGAGTTTACGAAGCTCAATAACTTAATTCGAAATTTTGATTGGTCCGCTCTGTACTTGTGCAGTGACGTCATTTTTTTTTACACGTGTGTCCCACTTTCATGTCCGACTAGATCTGCGAAACCTCCTTGGTTCACCAAAGGGTTATCCAGTCTAAAGAACCTAAAATCAAGACTATTTAAAAAATCTCAAGAAGTTGGTTCTCCCTCTTCTCTTTCTAATTACTTAATAGCTCGGTCAAATTTCACTGTTCTTAATGCTCAATGCTATAGGAACTACCTCCTTCAATGCAGGATACGTTTTTCACAGGAACCTAAACAGTTCTACAGCTTTGTAAACAGTAAGCGTAGAACGTCCGCACATCCATCCTCGCTATTATTTTTGAATATGTCGGCTAACAATGATCAGGCAATCGCCGATCTTTTTGCACAATTCTTTCAAACCACCTATTCCCAGCAAAGCTACCCAGGTCATATGTATCCATATAGTTTACCACGGTCGAATGGGATTTTCTGCCCTTTGTTTAATGAAGGCTCCTTACTTCATGAACTTCAATTAGTTAAGCAGGTAATTTCCCCGGGCCCTGACGGAGTTCCCGGCTGTGTACTCAGGTACTGTACCGAGTCTCTGTGCGGACCTTTGCTTAAACTATTCACTCTATCCATCCATTCTTCTAGCTTTCCCCCCATCTGGAAGGAATCCTTTATAATTCCTCTCCATAAGAAAGGTAGAAAGTCTGACGCTAAAAACTATAGAGGTATATATAAGTTATCCGCTATTCCTAAAATGTTCGAGAAAGTTTTAACTTCGCACTTGCAGCGTCTCTGCCAATCACTTATATCTCCAGATCAGCACGGATTTATACGGAGACGATCAACAACAGTTTAGTTGTGTTTAGTTCTAATTTTCCTCGAATATTAGCCTAACATCTTTCCTGCATGCTCGCGACCGGTTCTGTTAATCGCGCCGCGCGCCTTGCGGCAGCGCCGCTCGGTCGATTGAGCGGGAGGAGGGCTGCGTTCTGCTGGGTTCCGCGCGTAACATTCTTGGGCTTGGTGTCGCATGGGCCACTTGATGGTGCAGTCATTGCATATCAACGTCCAGACATATAACTTAAAAACTATACAATAAAAATAGTCCTCAAACTAAGAAAATCTCCTAGAATAGTGGATTAATCAATCCGATAAAATTCAATTTTTAGCTGAGGGTCTAAGTATACTAGTAACAGAATATCAAACTAGAGGACTGATTTAAGATTTTTGGAATATTTATATGAGAAGGTATATTTTGGTAAATTTCTAGGGTATTTGTGTGCTAATATTTTTGAAACGTACCTCACCTTTTTGCATGTAATTTTTAGATGTTATTTCGAATATTCTCATCGGTTGAATGTTGAAAAAAATTATTTTTTAAGTATTTATTTTTGATATAGAATTCAAAGTAAATGGCGGGTAATATCAAATAGAAAGAAACAACTAACTTAACTTAAATGGGGTCCGTCAAGCTCACCAACATGCGCAGCACCCAGCTGAATAATTTGATGGAGCCAAGCTGTGCGACATTTCTGGATGATTAACATAGAAGAACTGCCCCGAAACTACTCCGAGCTTCTAATATTTACTTATGTTCCCTTATCCGCTCCCCGCTTTGTGCAATTTTCAGGAAAACAATAGAATTTATTTTCCTCTTTTGTTCCGCGCTGTCAGTTAACATACATGTGTTCAGTTCACAATTTACATACATTTACATACTGAAGACAAAGCTCCCTTGGTTCCAGAGAGGGTGATTTGAGTGAAAATTGTAATATCCAAATCCAATAAAAATAGTATTTATAATAAGCCAAATTGATTATTCAAACGGATTAAATTATTGTTTCAGTGTTAAAAGCCTTTGCAGGCTAGTAATATCAAATAGAACATCAAAATCGAGGAATATAATTTAGCATTGCGGTATATTTACGGAATGTTTTTAAAATGAGAAGGTATATTTTGGTATATTTTTGAGGGTCTGTCGGTATATCTTATCGACAATTCCGCTGTCAAATTTGTGGCTCGGCCATTTTGTCAAAACTCCCAGCGGCATCCAGACGTAAGTTCCACGAAAATTGCAAAAAGGTTACAGAAATGGGCATATTTTACTATGAATTTGAGAAATCTAAAAAACATAAGCAAAGACCGACATTGTGCAATCATCGGCAGTACATTTATTTGTGATTTTCGCACATTTGAGGGTGATGCACGTGGAAGTTGGAATTAGTTGGGTTATGTTGAGGCGACGGAGAGCTAACACGAGTTTTTATTTCCATTTCACAGGTTCCGTAACTCTTTCAACGTTAAAATGTCGGGAGGCTTAGATATCTTGTCCCTCAAAGAGGATGACATTACCAAGATGTTGGTCGCCACCACCCACTTGGGGTCGGAGAACGTCAACTTCCAGATGGAGCAGTACGTCTACAAGCGTCGCGCCGATGGTGTTAACATCATCAACCTCGGCAAGACCTGGGAGAAGCTCCAGTTGGCCGCTCGCGCCATAGTGGCCATTGAGAACGGCTCAGATGTAAGTTTTGCGCCCCGCTGTTGTGCGCCCTGCTCTATATTATATTCGGCTTATGTGAGGTGCCGCGTGGTTTATATGATGATTTTTTTATCTTTCGGGTATGAAATGCAATGATTTCAACTTAAAGCTGATATACCACTCCTCACAAAGCCCATGAAAAAAGTAGCGTTCCACAGTCGCAGTAAAATTCAGTGAACTAATTGTGTTTTCCATTCGGCAGGTCTTCGTCATCTCGTCGCGTCCCATCGGTCAGCGCGCTGTGCTGAAGTTCGCCAAGTACACGGACACCACTCCCATTGCTGGCCGCTTCACTCCCGGTGCCTTCACCAATCAGATCCAGCCCGCTTTCCGCGAGCCCCGTCTGTTGGTTGTCACCGACCCCATGACCGATCACCAGCCCATCATGGAGGCTTCGTACGTGAACATCCCCGTGATTGCCTTCACCAACACCGATTCGCCTTTGCGTTACATTGATATTGCTATTCCATGCAACAACAAGTCTGCGCACTCCATCGGTCTGATGTGGTGGCTGTTGGCCCGTGAGGTGCTCCGTCTGCGTGGCACCATCTCGCGCACCGTCGAGTGGCCTGTGGTCGTTGACTTGTACTTCTACCGCGACCCTGAGGAGGCTGAGAAGGAGGAGGCCGCCGCCAAGGAGCTGCTGCCACCACCAAAGATCGAGGAGGCTGTCGACCATCCCGTCGAGGAGACCACCAACTGGGCCGATGAGGTCGCCGCCGAGACTGTTGGCGGTGTGGAGGACTGGAATGAGGATACCGTCAAGACCTCCTGGGGCAGTGATGGCCAGTTCTAAGATGATGACAGCTCAACCCACATGTTGAACGATTCTTCTGCAACATAAATAAATATCTTTATTTATGTTTCCCCCCGAAAATTACCACGTGTTCGACTTTATTTTTTTTTATGCTCGGCTTAGAGCGGGACAGCTTGCTAGCGTCTGTTGCTGCACAGGAATTAGAAAGGGATAGCACGAGTGCATAGGGTAGAGGCACTAAGCAAACAACATAGAGTTATAAGCGGAGACATGGCGGCTGTGCCGAAAAAGATTTTTTTTCGTGTGTCTCTTTATGTTTATTCACACAGTGTACGCTGAATACTCTAATGGAAAATATTTGCAACGCCAAACATGCAATTACGAAGCGTCTTGAAAAAGAACGAGAAGGGACGTGTGAGACGCTTCTTACGCGTCACAACTTTTATACCCGGCACTCAGTACTACTTCTGCACCTTAGCGGTGTTTTGTCAAATTTTAAATTTGTACAACACTACACACACCAATACGCTCCGTTAGCTCGCCGCCCTTTCCTAGACCCACACACTGCAGACTCGCGGCAGAGGGACGGGGTGGGTTAAAAGTCGGCAGATGCATGGCAGAGGGACGGAAGAGGCAGAGGCCGAGTGAAGCAGAAGCATAGTGTGAATGAGATAATGTAAAAAGAACAAAAAAAGCTGCGGACAGGGTGGGTTTAGCCACTGCAAATTAATTTCTTCATGAATGATCCAATCGGATATCAATTTGGTGATCTGATAGATATGGCAATTCCCTACGGAATGGCGTTTTTAGTTTTCTTCTATCATCAAAATTGTAGATTTGGGAGGTTTTAGCCCTTTTGCGGGGGCGGAAGGGGGCGTGGCTCATTTTTGAAATACACTTGTAACAGTGTGAGCATACAGAAGTCTGGATGCAACATTTGGTGGCTCTAGCTTTTATGGTCTCTGAGATCCAGGCGCTCAACAAGATGGACGGACAGACAGACATGGCTCAATCGACTCGGCTATTGATGCTGATCAAGAATATATGTACTTTATGGGGTCGGAAACGTTTCCTTCTGTGTGTTACATACATTCACTTTGTGCACAAATACAATATACCCTATGTACTCTTCGAGTACCGGGTATAAAAACAAAACTTTGTTTTTGCTAGTCGCTATGCGTTCAATGCTCAAGAGAGCCAACGCCAAACTCTCTCAGCCGAAGGCTCTCTCACCAAGCGCCGAAGGCACTGGGTGCCAATCCACTATACTGATTAGGCAGCCAGTTTTTACTCCATTTAACCACTTTATGAGTTGTTTGCTTAGTGGTAGAGGTGTCGATGCCCCTCAAATTTAGGCAGTGATCGCACGCATGTATATGCGAGCGTAGGCAGCAGGCAAAACGGGGAATTACAGTGGCCCACACGTGTACGTAATCAGCAGCACACTTTCTCATGTCCATAAGATGGATCCTTTCTTACTTTTACACACTGTTGATTTTCTCTCTCTTCCCCACACATGCATACAAATGCAATGGAACAGTCTTGCCGCATCAATTTACAGTTATTTATTGTGTTTTGTTGTTTCTTTCGACTTATTACAAATAGAAAACAGTTAATGATTGCAATTGCAAATTGCCTAATGGTATACATATATATTTATATAGTTATCCTTCCCATCCGAGAACGTACGATTAGAGGTGGCTTCCCATCGAAAAAAAATTAATGCTTGTTTCTATAGATATACAATATATAAATGAACGAATGTAAGTATAAAATAATGTTAGAGACAAATCGAGTTAATCTGATAAAAAAAAACTATATATAGATAGTACGTGTTTATCGTGAATTGGTGTGATTCTAGACAAGCGTCTTCTTAGATATCTCCTGGTAGGTAGAAGGATGCTTCCGCTTCCGCTTCCCAGAATTCAAATATCATTTAATTTTTTCAATTTTTGATTTCCTTCTGACTGCCGCTTCTTATTGTTTCCTTCTCTTTGATGACCAGATCTCCAATCTTCTTCGTGGTTGGTACAAAAATAAATGTATGTATGTATATGTATGCATATGTATAATCCTCACCGCCCCGCGTATCGCCGCCTAGTCTTGCTCTAAATTACAGATTACATTTCGGAAAGTGGGTTTTTTTGGGGATTTTGGGGGGTTGGGAGGAAGGAGCTTAACATCGAAATTTTGGACAGGTTAAAGTGTTTTTTGGGGGCTACTTAAATGGATTTGGACGCGCCTTGAATACCGTCATCTTTCGTATTTCCTTGATCTCCTCCTGCTCGCATCGCTTGCGTTGTTCGTCTTGCTGAAACGATAGATAGGAGGGGGAAAAGGCGGGTAAGCACGGCGGTAAGCCAGAGAATCGTTTATCTAATCGTAAGTAGGCAAGAGTAATGGTAAAATCCCAACAGCTGTTCCCCCCGTACCCACACCAGCACAGCAGTTCTAATTAGGCGGCGTTTATGTAACGCCTTCGGCACGAGGCTGGAACTGTTGATATGCCGGTGACTGATGGGGCGCCAGCTGAGTCACTTGTCCAGCCGCAAGACGCTTCCATCCATTCCAGTATATCACACGAAGCTCAGCGACTCAGGGCTTAGCATCAGTCTGAGTGGGAGTCATGGCGGGGTATTTTATCCAGAGCCCTCCACTGACGCTGACCCTGAGTATTCCATCTCTCAGCTCCGATATCGAATCCCACTTTTGTATCTCTGCCTCTCCATCCTCTCGTTTTTTGTCGCTCTTCTCAGGCTGCGGAGCAGCAGCCGTTTGTTTGCCAGTGGAAAATAGAGTAAGAACAACAAGAGGCTCCAGAGGCCTGATAAGATTATCACACACACACACGCACACACCCAGGGACACACACATAGAAAACTGAGCCGGAGGAATGGAATTTTCGCGCGAGATCAACAAACTAAAACACAAGGCAAGGTCGAATGAACGATCAGACACTCTCTCTAGAATTATACAAATAAAGGGTATATAATGGTACTACAAATATACATAAATGTATGTACTTATGTATATTTGTATGTATTTGAGCATGTTTATGAATGTGCGAGGTACCCGTTATCCAATCGTGATTCGATCATGTTTGTCCGTCTGCAGCTCCGTCCTTTGTCCGTGCGTCTGTTTGTCTCAACAGTGGGAGCCCGTCATTGAGGAGGCCACGGCAGGATTCTGGCTGGGACTGACCGTCGTCGTTGAGGATGAGGATGGTGGCGTGGCTATCGTGGATTGGCTATCGTCCGCGGAGAGCACGCTGCTGTCGCCGTAGAAGCGCGGCTCGTCGTGCGATTCACCGCCCGGCGAGGTCGTCTCCTCGTCAGTGTCCTCATCGTTGGAGCTATCGCCCGTCGGGCCATGACCGCTGGCATTGTGCTTGACACCGCCAGCGGCCGCGCCTGCCAACTCCTCGCCCGCACCGCTGGGCACATGCTTGAGACGCTCATAGCAAGCATCGCAAACGCGCAGCGATTTCGTGCTCTGCTGCGGCAGCAGGAACTTCTTCGAGGAGCAGCCGGCGCAGACAACGGCGCCGCAGCTGCGGCAGTGGTGCCGGCGCTGGATGAAGGTGAACTGCGTCCTCTTGCAGTGCATACAGATGCTGGCGTCCGTGTCCGGCACCCAGACGGCGGCGTGATTCTCCACGGGTTTCTTGCCGCTCTTGCGCAACAAATCCTCCACACACTTGTTGATGTGCGCCATCCACTCCTGCTTCTCGGTGCTGGTGGCCGCGTACACCACAAACGATTTGGTGGTGGTGCGTATGTACCAGCCGTTCCGATACTGCTGGTTATCCACAATCGAGTCCAGCGACACCTCCTCCAGCGGCATGATGTGCTGCTTGTTGTACTTTTTCTTGCCGATCACAATGTTCCCGTACACGAGGATGTCGTTGAACAGGAAGAACTGGCGTGACTTTGGCCGCTTGCGGCACATCTTCGTCAGCACACCTTCGCCCACGAGCACACGGCCGGGTACGGCCAGCGGTACACCGGAGCTACCGAAGCAGTTCTCCACGGAGGCGATGCGGCGCGTGTTGGCCTCCGAGTTGACAAGACGATCCACCATGGTGGTGCTGACTGCTGCTGTTGCCTCGCTTCGGTTTCGGACTGGCGAAAGTGGGTTTATCTGGGTCTGGCTGGGCTCCGTCGCTCCCTCTCTCTCTCACACACGCTCACACACAGAAACAAACAAACACTATATTTTCTATTGCTGTGTGTTAACAGTCTTCCCGCTTCTTCGGTTCCCTGGTCTTACTGGTTGCGACACTCTCCACTCTTCACTCTCCACTAGCGACTGCTGCTGTGGCTTCTCCACTCAGTGCTGCCGCCCGTGGCTGAACATAAAACAACAACAAAAAACCGAAAAGTACTCAACTGTGACGACAGACGGCTTCTATTGCTTGTGTGAGTGCGTGGTTGGGCGAGAGTGTGAGAGCAGGCGGGCGAACGGGTGCGAGAGTATGTGACACAGGCTGTTGCTGCGACTGTGTGGGTGCGTGCGTGTAGATATGGGCGCAGCTGTTGCAAATCCTTCCGTGCGATTTGTGTTGTTCCTCTGTCTGGACTACACTGGACGGGGGGGTCGCATTGCCGCAGAATCCGATCAACTGTTGTGTGCGGCTGGGGAGATGCTACCTGCACTCTTTTTTTTTTATGCAATGCACAATGCCTTTTCTACGCCGTCCAAAATGCCATGACTCACTCACACCACTAACAACAAAAACAATCTTGACTCCGTGTTCGTTTAAGTAACTTTCTGATGATTTAGAGCGTTTGTATATAATTTGAGAACATTCACTGGGCCTGTTGATATGTTTGGGTCCTACACAACTCGAAACTTCTCAGTCGAAAGCACAGTGGCATTCCCAAAACACTTAAACGTTAGTTTATTTCTGCAGGCACGCAAATGTGAGCTGGTTCTGCGGAACCATATTTCTGAGCTATCGACATCGCGGAACCAGTTTCAGTTCACCCACGAAACGCAGCCTATCGATGGCTACACGATAGCGGGGGTGGACATTTCAAATACAACGGTCAGAGCGACAGCTGGAAAAGAAATCAGCAAGAAACAATTGTTTGCACATACATTTACCTCTTTTTTCTTCTTATCGAGGCTGACCTGCACAGCAGCGTCATATTCGCGGCGCTCGCGCACGCGCTGATCGCTGCGCAGATGGAATGGTTGGCTGGGCTGGACGTCTTTCGGGTGGAGCTGGCGGCGAATTTGGCTGAGCTGGGCCTTCTCTTGCTCCTTGCGCTTGCGACGCTCCAAATCCATCTGCCAGTGCTTCATGGTTTCCGGGGTGTGGGGAATGGTTATTCTGTGGCAGACGACCAAATCGTCCAAGCGCTTGTGCATCGCCGAGAAGTTGGGCATGGGACGGCTCTGGAATTGTCGTGCCTTACGCTCCTCCTCATCGCGCTTTCGCAGCGTCGCTTCCCGATTATGTTGGTATATATCCTTGAAGTCGTATGCCTTGGGCGGCACTACGGCGCTCTCATGATGGTGGCTCTCCGGCCTGGGAGACCACTGACTTCGCAGCTTGAGCTCAATTCGCTGCGCATCTGACTCGCCTACCTCGACCTCGTTCTCCTCCTTTTCTACCTTTACCTCTGTTTTCGGGCTTGGCTCATCATCGCTGATAAGCTCTTCCTTTGGCTGCACCTGTCTTGGGCTAGTTGGTGGGTTAGCGGCGACCTGCTGCTCCTCCGTTGGACGTGTTGGTGATTTTGCGACCTGCAGCTCCTCTGTTGGACGTGTTGGTGAATTCGCATCGTTGCTGTCCGAGTCCCAGCTGAGGGGAATGATTTTTTTGGTATCACGCTCAACCTCCCTCAGCGGTTGACTGTTGGCCATCTTCGCCAGCGGAGTGAAGCCCAGGATAAGGTTCCCATTGTTCAGAGGTTTATTTTCCTTGTTGGCAGCAGCTGCGTGAGACAGAGACAAAATGGCGCGTTTTTGTGGCTTACTGTAAATCGGACTAGCGAATAAAATGCCTGCGACGTACCGAAAAAGTTCTGAGAGTGATCCAGGTTGTAGTCACCCACGTTGATCGCGTCCCAGTCAAACTGTGCATTTGCAACATTTACATTATGGTTTTCCATGGCTCTTCTTTGTCAGCGTTTTGGCGACAATTTTTTCAAATAACAAAAACACAATCAAACGCTCAGTGCGACCACGGATTTATCAACGAAATATACCAGCTGACCCTAAAAAATATACCGAAATATATCTTCTAAATTTCAAACATACCACAAATATACCGAGGAAGTTTATGTTCCTCACTTGTTATATTGACAATCTCGAAGGATTTCCAGCACTGCTCACTGCCAGTATTAACAACTTTTACAAATTTTCCCGTATGAAAAACAGGGTGTAGCGCCTCGAAACGGAGCCGTTGTAGCCATAGTTGCCACACTTGCCCACTTTTTGCCCATGGTTGACTTTATACCACTGACCTTATATGGCTATGTGAACCGTATATTACCAAAAAACTATAATTTTGGGTTTTCAAAAAATTCATTTATAGAATTTTGTATCTTATTTTAGCGAATTATGATTATTTTTCATTTGGCAACCATGGTTGTAGCCCAGCTTTAGCGCCTGCCAAAAGCTTGCGGCATGTTGCAAGTCCCCAAGCTTTGACTTGGCTTTTCATCTGCCCCAAAGAGCAGCTATTTTGTGCTGGGCAACGCATGGCAACAGGTCGTGCAGTGAACAGAGCTCTGCCTGACCCGCCTCCAGCTGCGCTCCACTGAGCCATTGACTGGGAAATTTTCGTATTTTCATCCATCGAATGTAATTGTTGCTGTGTCCTGTTTCCTGTATCGAAATTTCCGTGCGGAGGGCAATAGGCCAAAGAAAACAAACTGCGCGCGCTAAAAATACCCGTTCGCTCGGTGGCACCTGTTCAGCATCCCAGCATCCTTGAGTGCCCCACGCCCGCGAGCCTGGCCCTACCCCAGTCACCTGAAGCGCTTTGGCTTACTACACACTTTGGGCGCGAAAGTCAAAGCTGAGAGAGTGCCAGTGCAGAATGCTACGGCTTGGCTGCATGCAACACTAATTAGCCGTCGAGTGTGGATACCAAGGAGGGGAGGCACCATACATCAGGTGAGCCCTAGCTTTACCTAGTTTTAATTTTAAACCACTGTCAGCTCACGTCCTGCACCTGCAGCTTCGAGCCCCCGAACAGCACAGCACACGCACACACACATCAGGATCTCATGCACACACAGGCGAATGCAAATGCATCCCACGGCCACCAAATGCCGCAAAGCTCTGACACTCACTCTCCTCCCTCTCCACCACCTTAGACTGGTAATGTGATGTGAGTGGGCAAACGGCTGGCTTGTACTTTGTTATGGCCTTAATTATAGGTGTTTTGTTGCTTCTGTGCAGATGAAATCGTATTACGAACTTCTAACCCAATCAGGAAACAAACTCCGCATCCTGGATGCCATACGAGCCAGGGCCAAAGGTCTATTTTAGTGTCAGCCTCAAAGGTGTGGCGAGGCACCAAAGTAATTGCTCGATCTCTCTCCAAATCAATAACGGTTTAAAATTAACTGTTTAGGCGGCTGGCTGCGTGCATTCTTTTGAGTGCCCGTCGATGCTAATTCGATTTCCTGGAATCCCTCTTAGTTGTATGCCCTTCACCTGTCACTAAAACAGACAGCAGCGGAAAATATGTGTTAGTTGTGCGAGATGGTGCCGAGAGGGATGGTGGCGGAAGCGGAGACAGCAAAAGGAAATTATATTACCAGACGACAGCAATGGAGGGCTCCATTACAAAGAAACAGAGAGATGTAAAGAGAGAGTGCAGCTCTTGGTTAATAGGGCAGGGCATATGAATACAAGGTGCGAGTATTACCGTTCCCTACTCACACACACACACACACATGCGAATTTATCGTAAGAGTGTAATTCCCACCCAATGTAAATACGCTATGGGTTACACGTGCTACACTGCACTGCAAGATACGGTAAAAGGACCAGAAGCATCACTTCGATCTGATGCTCTCGCGCCTGGTAAATAATTGATTGTGTCGCACAGTATACTACTTGTCGCTCAACTCAATTGTGTTTTTCTTTGAAAGGAGAGTAGGAGAGAGGAGCAAGTATGGCTGGCGTCTGGTTGTCTAGCAACAGCTTGTTCATGGGGAGGAATGCCGCCCCCCTCCGCCCGTAGACCACAAACATTGTCCGTAATCCGCTTTGTCCAAAGAGGGGAAGCCGAGGCCTCAGCACAGATGCTGAGGCCCTACATTCACACTGCACACTTTTGGGAAACACATTTGCAGCAATGCATGTATGTATGTATGTATGTATGTATGTATGTATGTATGTTTGTATGAGTCTAATTAGTGGGAAGATGGCAAAAATGAAACAAACATTCCTGCTGTTATTTTTCTCTCTTTTGTGCTCTTCCTTTGTATGCAAAGTTGTGGAATTACCGTTTAAAAAGGTTTTCCTTTGATGCGATTCCTGGACGCAGGGCATGCCATGCTTGTCGTTCATTTTGACATCACCACTAGTAGTTCCAAGGTGGTAGCCGGAGGGCAAACTGTTTTCGAGGGTATGTGCTGGGTCGGTTTTTCGTTTTCGTAATAATTTTTATTTGAAGTACCGTTAAAAAATAACACATATACATACATACATACGTACCCATCCATCTCCCTCACCGCTTAGAAATTCAACAAAATTTCGCCAAGACAGAAAATGAGACAGAAAATCAATAAATCGGGATTTAATGAGTTTCAAATATTTGCTGCAAAAGCCAGGGAGGCCAGGAGGGACTATGCGAGTGAATAGAGTACATACTACCCACTGTACCCAGTTCCTGATCCGCACGTCACCCTAAGCCAAGGGCTTAGCCGGGCGGCATTCAGGAAAGATGATGATGGTGGGGTGGGGGGATGCCTAGACCTGCCCAAAACCTAAATCAATCTCTGTGCTTACAGAACGGAATGCGTCTGCTGCCGCCACAGACAACGGAACAGCCAGAAAGAGACCATGACGAACACCAACATCGATTACGACTACCTGCTCAAGTTTCTGGTGCTAGGCGACTCTGGGGTGGGGAAGACCTGCCTGCTCTACCAGTACACGGACGGGCGCTTCAACTCACAGTTCATCTCCACAGTGGGCATTGATTTCCGCGAGAAGCGTCTGGTGAGTAAATCTATTTTTTTTCGAGTACTTTAGAAGTTTTTCCCAGCATCCCAGTGGCGTCTTCCCAACAGGTGTACAACTCGCGCGGACGTAGACATCGCATACACCTGCAGATCTGGGATACGGCCGGGCAGGAGCGCTTTAGATCCCTGACGACCGCCTTCTACCGGGATGCGATGGGCTTTCTGCTCATCTTTGATCTGACCAGCGAGAAGTCCTTCCTGGAGACCGTCAATTGGCTGGAACAGCTGCGCATGCACGCCTACTCCGAGGATCCGGACGTTGTGCTGTGCGGCAACAAGTGCGATCTGCTCGAGCTGCGTGTCGTCAGTCGCGACCAGGTGGCGGCACTGTGCCGCCGCTACCGTCTGCCCTACATCGAGACGAGCGCCTGCACCGGTGCCAATGTCCAGGAAGCCGTACAGCTGCTCGTAGGCTGCGTCATGGATCGCATCGAGAATGCCGCCTGCAACCGTGAGCTCTCGCTGTTGCTCACCCAGTCCCGTTGCCTGCCCAACGTTGCCTATGGCCCGGAGCTGCTGCGACTCCATGAGACGAGCGGCGAACCCAAGGGCCGCGGGCGACGCAACTGTCGCAATTGTTAAGGAGATCCACCTCCTAATTACCTGATTCCGCCAACTAATCTCAACCAGAGTTCTTTATGTTTATCTCGTTTATGGTTCTACGTGTGTGTTTTTCGCTGTAAATAAATGTTGATTGTTGAATGGAATCACCAGGAATCGGCAGAGGCGCACCCCAAGAAGAGCTAGAGAGAGAGAGCAGGAATGTGCACATCCTTATCGTTTATATCTACATGAATACTGAATGGTTGCTGTAAACGTCAAGAGGCCCAACAGCAGGCTAAAGCTGAGGCCCAGGCCAGGAGACGTTCGGGAACGGGCCACACCACTGCGCTCGTCGATCCACTGCTGATAGTATTGCACATCCACGTAGACACCCGGCAGGCCGGGCTCCGCGCAACCGTAACCCCAGGAAACGACACCAATGACGCGACCCTCGTGAACCAGCGGACCACCGGAATCGCCCTGGCAAGAGTCGGTGCCGCCCTGGAGGCGTCCAGCGCACATCATGCCCGGCAGCAGGCCGGACTTGTAGATGCTGCGGCATGTCTGCTCTCGTATGGTGCTCACATTGGCAGTCATCAGAATGTTGGACAGGGTGCTCTGCAGATAGGTAGAGCGGATGTGATGAATGGGCTGAGAACTGAGTGGAAAATGGTTCACTCACCTGCTCTGTGCGTCCCCAACCGGCCACCTGGCACACGCGACCCGCAGGCGTGACCTGCCTGGCCAATTGGATGGGCGCCACGCTGAACGGATTGGGGCGGATCAATCCCTTGCGCAGGAAGAGAACGCCCACATCGTCGCGCATGCTGTCCGGACTGAAGGTGTTCATGTAGGCCATGGAGCTCACCTCGGACACAATTGTGCCGTTCGGGTGTTCGTATCGGTTCAGGGTGCCCATGACTACGATCAATTCGCTGGGCCTGCGGTAACGTTTCCTGCCATTGCTTGGGAAAACCACGAATGGGTCAGTGGATAAACCTGAGTGAGGGTGTGGCCGGCCCGGGGCAGCTAGGTGCTACTCACTTGTAAAGGCAATGGGCAGCGGTGAGCACCTTGTTGGCTGCAATAAGTGCTCCTCCGCAGATGTGTCCGCTGCCAAAATTATTGTCGTGCTTTCTCAGGCGAATGGAGACCAGATGCCTGGTCTCCTCGACCCTGGCCACGCTGCCGTTGATGATACGCGGCTGTGTATCCGTCTGGGCGGCTGTTCGGAAGAGGCAAGAGATTGCCTTTTGTTTCTATGTTCTCCGACGCCGTCTACTTACCCACTTTGCAGCAGATGAGAAGCCATAGAAAGCAGCCTAGACCCAGTTCTAGTCCATGTACCATTTTCGATGAATCAACTTGAAGTGCGCGACCCTCACTGAAGTGCCCCGCCGACATGGGTGAGATGGGAGGGCCATCAATAGACAGCACTGACAGCTCCAATTGGCAATCAGCGTCGCAGACTATCAGCCAGATAAGAGACTAACAAAAAACATATTAAGCGAAGACGACAACTCCGAACCGAACCGCGTCTCTCCACCCGCAAGAATAGCCCATGTCTGAGTCAGTGTATGTGTGCTCTTTAATACATGTATATAAATGGGGGGGTAGTCCGGAGCTCGAGCTCGATCGATGCTCGAATGCTCGGCGTGTATAAATATGTATAATATTCGTTTCAATGGTTAGATTTTAGATTGTAAGAAAGAGTAGAAGGTACTTTTTGGACGGCTTCGATTGCTGAAGTTACGAGAGATTGCAGGTGATACATATGACAGGGGGGTGGGAGACCTATAGACCTATAGACCTATACCTAGATATAGATATTCGCATGGAATGGAATGCATTGAAGTTAGAGCGAGTCCAAAGCTCGCATTTATATGTAGCCCTGCAGACTGCGTGACTGGCTGTGGTGGTGGCGTGGCGGCTGGTAGCCCGGCTCCTGCATTTCCATTTGCATGACCAGATTCTTTTGTTCGCCGCGTGCCTCGAAGGCCTGTCGTGCCTCACGGTGCAGTATGAGCGCTGCGAGGCCCAGCAGCATGAAGGTAACAACGGCCATGGCATAGGACCAGCCCAGGACATTGAATCTGGGATACATCAGCCAGTCGCGACGATAGGCACATCCCCCGAAGATGCACACGGCCAGGAACATGAACAGAGCTGTGGGTGGACCATTGATTGATTGTTTGTTTTGTTTGTACAAGCTTGTATACGTACACGAGATGGCAGTGCCCATGTAGGAGAGGCGAACGAGCAGCCACTCGTACTGGAGGACGGGCTTAAGGGGCAGTCGAATGATCGTCAGTGCGAGCAGGCTCAGCACCAGGAACACAATGATGAATGACATGGTGACAAAGCCCTGCACGGCCATCAGCCAACCAGGCAGTAGATACTCACGAATCACATAGTACTCCTGTGGAGAGAAACGGGAGAGATCAGCCTGCCTGAATCTGAAGCGACTCAGATCACAACTCACATGCGAGAAGATGTTGTGGCATCCTGTGAACTGCTTGGGCAAAGCATACTTGGGATAGACAAAGTCCTTGAAGCAGTACTGCCAGAGGCCCATGTTCTTGAAGCTGCTGCGAGTCTCCTCATACGATTCGATCCAGTACGGCGAGCAGAAGGACATCATTAGCACAAAGGAGCTGCCAAAGGTAAGGATAGCCCCGAAGACCACGCCATCTAAAGAGAAGTTGAATGATCATTGGTTGTGCATACTTATGAATGCGGGCGTGCAATCGCCATTGCGTCTGCGTCACTCACTTGTGGCACGCGGATAGTCGCCTTTCTCGATGCCCCCATCCGTAGTGTCCTGCGACTGTTGTTTGTTTAGTTCACGCATATTTCTGCAGAAGACTTTCAATGTCGCAATTTGAACACAATTGGAGAAAATATGTTCACTTTTATCATACAAAACGGAGCGTAAACAAATGAAACACACCCAGCCCAAAGCAGAAACAGATAGGTGGGGCTTCTAGAGTTTTGCAGCACTGAAAAGTACGCCCTCCACCATACTGCTCACCAAAATATTGGTATATTCTAGTATTTTTAGCTTAAAAAGAGCTATATTTATTTACATGTATTTTAAATATTTAATACAATAGAGAAGTAGAATAACAACAACAGGTAACAATTAAATGGCTACATCCACCTCGTGGTGTTCCAAATGCTTCATGTAGGCAAGAAAACACGTCCAGCACAGACTGCAGGCGCTAATAAACGGCACTCGGTTGCGCTCTGGTATGAGGCTAAAATTAATGGTCGCAACAAGCGGCCACACTGACAGAGCCACCTGCGGATCGGGATTAATTCGTGAGTGTGTAGAGTACCGAGCTGAATATTATGGTTGATTTATACCTTGTAGGTGGGCAGAAACTTCTTGCCAACCTCAGAGACAGCCTCCTCGACTGTCTTGGACTCGAGCAGACTCATAATGAAGTAGAAGCAGGTCATGGCACCCGGTGTGTACGAAATGGACTCCACCGCCGCTTTAATTATGCCCGTGCGCAGTGAGGTCTGCGGCCACATGGCGCTGGACACCTTCAGATAAATGAAGCACATCAAAATTAAAAGATATAATCCTCACGGCTCTAGGAGAGGGTCGGCTCTCCTTACCTTAACCCATCCATATAGTGTGGGTGCCACGAAGAGGCCACCGTACATGCTGAAGCGCATCACGCGCCACCAGTCATAGTTGCCTGCAGATAGATGAAGGATAACATAAGTCAAAACCAAGGAGGAGGAGGAGGAGGACATTACACTCACCCCAGCTCTTGCCCTCGAATGTCTGCTGGATGAGGCTGCCCGAGGGCCAAATCAGGCTGTACGATATCATGCCCCTCGCTATCGGGTACCTGGTGAGGAACACCTTGAAGTTCTGCCACAGCAGTGGAGCTGCCATTGCCAATCACAGCGCTGCGAAGTCACAAAACCACAAACAATAATCGCATTCAGTTTTGTATATAATTAGCATGCCTAATCAGCACCTGTCCTACTCTGTGGCGGAATGCGGGCACACACCCACCCATTGCCCATAAATGGCCCGACACCATTGCGTTCCTCGTATACGGACATCCAACATGGCGCTGTGCGGACCGATTTGCCTGCTCCTGATGGCTTCCGCCTGCGTGATCGGAGTCTTTTCGGACGATGGAAAGATTGTGAATGGAACTACCGCATCGCCGGGCGAGTTCCCCTTTGTGGTGTCACTGCGTCGCGCCAAAAGCGGTCACCATTCTTGCGGGGCCACGCTGCTCAATTCGGACTGGGTGCTGACGGCTGCACACTGCGTGAAGGGATCGACGCCACAGCAGCTGAACCTGCAGTACGGCAGCCAAAGTTTGGCGAGAAATGCGAGCAAAGTGGTGCAGGTGGTCGCGATTCATGTGCATCCCGGCTATGAGCCACAGGACAAGTATCTGAACGACATTGCGCTGCTGCAGCTGAAGGATTCCGTTGTCCTGGGCACACGCGTCCAACCGGTTCGCTTGCCGACACCGGAGCAGCCGACATTCGCCAACAGCAGCGCCGTGCTCGCTGGCTGGGGATTAAATGCGGTACGAATTCGTGAACCATTTCACTTCTGAATCAACTCATTAAATCATTTTTTTGTTTTTGTTTCAGACGGGAGGCGTGGTGCAGCAGCAGCTGCAGAAGGTCCAGCTGCAGGTGTTTAGCGACGATGATTGCAGCGATCGTCACCAGACTCAGTTGCACGCCAGCCAGATCTGCGCCGGAGTGCCCGAGGGCGGCAGGGGCCAGTGCAGCGGCGATTCCGGTGGTCCGTTGCTGCTTGCCGGATCAGACACACAGATCGGTATTGTGTCCTGGAGCGTGAAGCCCTGTGCCCGTCCGCCCTATCCGGGCGTTTTCACAGAGGTGTCTGCACATGTCAACTGGATTGTGGAGACGGTGGGTGCTGCCGCCTCCACGTCGTCGTGGCTCTGGATTGGTCAACTGATTGTGGGCCGCACGCCGCCAGTTTTGTCGCCCTAAAGTCGTATCAACCCACTTGGAAATAAAAATCCTTTGCATTTACGCTAACTCTATCTAATTTTGTCCTAAACAATTTGCCTAAAGGAACACGAACGAACAAACACGACAACAACGGAGGGGACTATTTCGCTAAGAGATCCGTGGTGCTGTGGCCGCTCTCCGCCTGCTCCTCGGAGTGACGCGTTTTCATGTAGGCCAGAAAGATGGTCCACATCAGGCTGCAGATGCTCACAAAGACGACACGGTTGTGTTCCGGCACAAGGGAGAAGTTGATGGTCTGCAGGAAGGGCCAGATGCACACACCAACCTGCGGGAAATGTTAGTAATGAGGTGAGAGGAGGAAGCGCAAGCAGGAATGGATAAGGGGATACGCTACCTTGTAGGTGGGAACCGCCTTCTCCTTGGTCTCTTCGACAGCCTCGGCCAGGCTCTTGAACTCCAGCAGGCTCATGCCCATAAAGAAGCTGACGCAAGCGAAGGGACCGTACGAGAGCTGCTCTGTGATGGCCTGGAAGTGTTTTTTGTTGCCAAAGTAAGTCAAGCGCTAGTCCCGCTGTGAGCTCCCGCTGCGTGCACTTACCTTGACGATGCCCGTGCGCAGATTCGTCTGCGGCCACATGGCACTGGTGAGTCGCACCCAGCCGTAGAGTGTGGGGGCCACGTAAAGGGCCCCGAACAGACTGAAGCGTAGGGCCCGGGCCCAGTCGTATTCTTCTGCGGATGGAGAGGGAATGAGGGACGCTAATGATGATGAGGATGATGAAGTCACTTACTCAAATTGCGTCCCTCCAGCGCCTGCTGGATCAGACTGCCCGTTGGCCACATGATCGCGTATGTGAGGGCCCCCTTGGCCATGGGGTGCAGCTTCACCTTGACAACGGTTCGCGTCCAGTGGCCCAGCGACGTTTGCAGTAGCTTCACAGCCTGAGGCACCATTTTGGCATAGATTGTCGGGAATTCTAGGTGCACACGCGAGAGAGGAGAGCTTGAGCAGCCTGCTACCAACTTCCTGATCCCCAAAACAGCAACACAAAACACCAACAATAGCAACAACGACGACTACAGAGGAACCCATCACCCCCAAGGTCAGAGTCTGGGTTTTTGTTGCAGCTAGCCATGGTCAAGACGCTGAAAGCGCGTACAGAACTCAGGGATACTTGCTTTTTTTTTTTTCTTTTGAGGAGGTATCCTGCCTGGGTTATTCGGTTGGTCGAGACAAACGATTCACAGAAACTAAAAGTGCAATCGCCAAATGAATGTAATTTCTAATTTTGAACATTTTTGCCAGAGATGAGAGAGAGCCTCTCTCACGCCGTTCGGCGGCAATTGCAGTTGCAATTTGCAATTGAGACTCATTCCCGTGCGAGAGCGCATTCCGATACCGTTACAGTGATCTTGACCATAAACTTTTCCCGTTGCCAATTGGCGGGCTGCGCAAGCGAGATGGGGCTACCCGCCCAGTGGAAACTTTGCAGCTCCTGTGCGTGTACTCGAGAGTGCATTAATCGGTGTGGGTGGTAAATTTGCTAGTGGGATTCAACGCAAAGAGCGTACGTACGAATAAGAGAGAGAGAGAGAGAGAGAGAGAGAGAGAAAAAGCTAGCGGAAGTATTGCCCACAAGGATTTTTATGTAATTCGCAAGGGGGCAGGGGCGGACCCCGACACATGAATGGAAAATTAACGGCACGTTTGGCTTTCTGCCAGTCACCAAGCAAACGCAAACGCAACCCCAGACGACTGATATGATTACGTCGCTTGTAAAACCCAGAAGATCGTGACAGGTAATCCGTCGTTGCCGTCGCGCCGCTGTTCTTGCTGTTGTTTCTCTTGCTGTTTTGCGATGATTTGTTCATGTATTTGCTTACCGTTTATTGTCGAGGAAGTGAGGGGAATGGGGCTTAGTATCTAGCCCTAGTCTAACTTATTGGAATTCTAATTTGTACTATTGTTACGCACGTCGTGGAGCTGGAGGCATCCGCATCCCGTGCCCTCGTTCCGTAACGTGTATTTGAATAATGAAAACAAAAGCAAATGCTAATATACATATATGTTTTGCTTGTGTCAGCTGTTCGTTCATTGATTAGGGAAAAGTTTCGACAAGTGTTTGAGCTTTCGTGTTTTTTTAGATTAGCTAATCCTTGTAGTAACCATTAATTTGGAATTCAAGGACACATATTTCAACATAAAACAGCATTGGGCTTACAAAAACAAAGAAATTGCTGTAAACTTGATTTTATAATGTTGGCGCCAAGTCGTATTTAGTAGACGCACTAGTGCTTTTTGGTAACGCGTTTTGGGGATATTGAAGCTTTATGCTGCGGCCAGCCTGATGTTATTATAAGTTTAAAAAAATGCATAAAATGCACGGGCGGTGGTGCTGGTCTGGCCACTGCTGGCCACTGCTGTTGCTCCTTTTACTACCATCATCGATTGCCATCGCAGACCGGCCAGCGACCCGCAACGGCACAGAATTCCACCGAACAGCGGTGGGGAGTAACAGCAACGTTTGCAGGAGCCGGCAATTCTGGCAAACGTTTCCATTGGTCGACACCTGTCCTCCGGCAATATTGCCACTGAGGGGCACCGTCTACATCCTCTACGATGTGAACATCTCCGAGGGCTTCAACCTGCGCCGCGACGTGTACATTCGCTTGGCCGTATTCGTGCGGCGCCTTCGCAGACGCAAGCGCTTCCGGAATGTTCGTCTGGTGCTGCCGCCATTTCCTCGCCTCTACCACTGGCACTCGCACCACTTGAAGCAGAGCGACGTGGGCTGGGGTCACTTCTTCGACCTGGACAGCCTGCGCCGATACGCCCCCATCGTAGACTACAGTGAGTTCCTCGCCGAGTACCGCCAGTTCGGTATGCCGGCCCCGCCCTTCGTTCACATATCGCAGGTGTTCCGCCTCATGCACTACGAGATAATGCTAGAGCAGGGCATATTTCGCGACAAGTACGAGCGCGTTGCTCCTAAGCTAGACGACAACTCCTGCAACGAATACTCCACTGCGGGAGGCCCGCTGCTATCACAGAGTCTGCTGCGCTACGGACAATACCACTGCGTTCACTTTCAGGGCAGTGCGGGGCTGCTGGAGAGGCTGCTGCGCGAGGCCATTGCGGAGGATACGGCCGGGGCCGAGGACATCGACGATATGCGTGTGTACGCGATCCTCAGTGCCGAGACAGTGCTGCACGACCACTGGGGTGACGAGCACTTCTGGAAGGCCCGCCGCTCGATGCGATTCTCCAAATACCTTAGCCAGGTGGCTAACGATTTTCTGCGATATGCCTTCGACACCACGGACAGCTCGGCGGGCGTCCAGCGGCCGGCCATGTGGGAGATGGAGCGACCTAAACGCGATGCACTCGGCGGGGACTTTATATGCGCCCACCTGCGTCGTGGCGACTTTGTACGATCGAGAGAGGCGACCACGCCAACCCTCAAGTCGGCCGCTCAGCAGATCAAGCAGCTGCTGAGGGCCTTTAATGCGAGCACAGTGTTTCTGTCGACGGATGCTACCCCCTACGATTTGGTGCAAATGAAGAGCATGTTCCATGGCTTTCGTTTTGTGCACTTTCAGCCGGAGTCGAATTTGCAGCGGCAGAAGCTGAAGGATGGCGGCGTTGCCATTGTGGATCAGTTGGTCTGCTCTTACGCCCGCTACTTCATTGGAACCTACGAGAGCACCTTCACATACCGCATCTACGAGGAGCGTGAGATTCTGGGCTTCAGCAAGACCAGCACCTTTAACACCATTTGTAAGGTTGTGGGCGGTAACTGTCCCCGTAATGCGGTCTGGCCCATCGTCTGGGACGACGATGGCGACAACGACAAACCGTACTGAATAATTTCCGTGTTCTTTGCTGCCATTTTGTATCTGTGAAAACTGATTTGTCTTTATATGTATATTAAGTTGTATGAGGGCCACTCGAATATCTAGTTGGATGTGTGGACATTGCTTTTGTGACACCACTACTACCATAATAATTCCGAACAAGCTGCGATTATGTACCAAAAATAATAAATCTATAGTCATTAACAAATATTTATCTCAGCATTTGAATTTTCCGCACTTCTATCTATGAACGCGTAATGTATCGATATTTGTACATCGATGGGTGACTGACAAGCTGCGAGAATATGCTGTTCTTTCAAGAATATGATCAATTTAAGGTTACTATTATAAGTATTCTTAACCAATTTAATTCATTTAAACGAGAGTTTTTAAAGATCTGTCTACTATCGGTATCTGCCTTTTCCATCTGATAGCTACACATATCGATCAAGCCGCAGTTGTCAGCTGTTTAGCCAGGCCATGAAGAAACTATAAGCATGAAGAAACTATAAGGAGGTCTCGTCGGCAAAAATAAGCAGAACGGGCGATTGAAAAGTGCGAGTAAAAGGCTCTCGCAGTAAGTGTGAGGGCAACGGCAATGGAATGTGCTGATTAACCATTTGAAGGCAATGTGAAAAAACATAATAATTGTTTCATAATTTAATTTTTAATTGTTTGCTACATGATAGTAGTCTGTGTTTTGAAAAAAAAACATGTTCTGCTTATTTTTGCCGACGAGACCTCCTTAAAGTTTCTTCATGGGCTAACTCACATTCATATAGCGAGAAGAGCAATATATATTTTCGGTATATTTTGACGGTATATTTTATCAAAAATTCCGTGGTCACACAGGAGAAGAGTGGTGCACGTGTTTTTGTTTGCTACAGAATTGTTTAACAGTGAAAAATTCAACTTTGATTCGAGTGGAAAATGGGCAAGAAGAACAAGGGCTCTACGCCCAACCTGGGGCGGACGCTGATCAAAGATCGTTTTGGCCACACACAGCTTCGCAAGGTGGACAACGACACAATGGTATTTATTTATTGCACAAAAAAGGCACCTGAAATCTGATCGTGTGATCATTTCCAGCTCCACACCACAGAGCTGCAGGACGGCTACGACTGGGGACGTCTCAATCTGTCGTCGGTGACCGAGGAGTCCTCGTTTCAAGCATTCCTGCGCACAGCCGAGCTGGCCGGAACAGAGTTCCAGGCAGAGAAGCTGAACATCACTTTTGTGAATCCCAAGCAACGCGTGGGGCTGCTCAGCAAGACCCAGGAGCAGCGCATGCATGAGAAGCATCACGAGCATCGTGAACATCTGAAGATTCCACGTCGCCCCAAATGGGACCAAACTACCAGTGCCGAGGATCTGAAGCGGGCCGAGAAAGAGGCGTTCCTCAACTGGCGCCGTGATCTCGCACAGCTGCAGGAGGATAAGGACATCCTAATGACGCCCTACGAGAAGAATCTCGAGTTTTGGCGCCAACTATGGCGCGTGGTTGAGCGCTCTGATGTCGTTGTCCAAATTGTCGACGCTCGCAATCCCCTGCTCTTCCGCAGCACCGACCTGGAGAGCTATGTCAAGGAAGTGAAGTCCACCAAGATGAACATGATTCTGGTGAACAAGTCCGACCTGTTGACGGAGGAGCAGCGCAAGCACTGGGCCGAATACTTTGACTGCGAGGGCATTCGCACTGCCTTCTACTCTGCGACGCTTGTGGAGGAGGAACTCAGGCGAGAGGCGGAAGCCGCCAGACAGGAGTCATTCCCGGAGCTCAAAGAGCTGCGTGAGGCTGCCGATGCGATCCAGCAGGCGCTGGGCAAGGTCGAGGGCGCACTCGATGCCATCGAGCGCAAGATACAGCCAGAGGAAGTGCACAAGCTGCTGCTGGGCGACAAAAACAGTCCACGTCTGCTCTCCCGAACGGAGATGATTGAGTTCCTGCGGCGAATCTACACGGGGCCCCGCCACACGTCGCAGCACGTCACCATCGGCATGGTCGGCTATCCCAATGTGGGCAAGAGCAGCACCATTAATTCCCTCATGACAGTCAAGAAGGTGTCGGTGTCGGCCACGCCCGGCAAGACCAAACGCTTCCAGACCCTCTATCTGGACAACGACATAATGCTGTGCGACTGCCCGGGCCTGGTCATGCCCAGCTTTGTGCTGACCAAGGCGGACATGCTGTTGAACGGCATTCTGCCCATCGATCAGATGCGCAATCATGTGCCCGCCGTCAATCTGCTGTGCGAGCGCATACCCCGTCACGTTCTCGAGGACAAATATGGCATTCTGATAGCCAAGCCCGTCGAGGGCGAGGACATGGAACGTGTACCGCACTCCGAGGAGCTGCTACTCGCCTACGGCTGTAAGTTCTCTGTGTGGGCAGCATCATCTTTGATCAACTTTAATAATCATTTCGTTTCGTTCGTTTTCACACAGACAATCGCGGCTTCATGACCTCCAACGGACAGCCGGATCAGGCACGTTCTGCCCGTTATGTGCTCAAGGATTATGTCAATGGCAAGCTGATCTATGCCATGGGTCCACCGTCAGTCGTACAGGAAGAGTATCACACCTTTCCCAAGCGGCAGCGCAAGGAGATCGAAGAGTCACAGCTGCCCAGTCAACAGCAGCGTGCCATGCGCGTAAGTTTATTCATTTCGATCCTCAGAGTTTGTTCCTTTATCCGTGACATCTCCGCAGATTGACAAGAGCACGTCCAAGGAGCTGGATCAGCAGTTCTTCGATGACCAGCCGAGCCATGCCCATGTTAAGGGACGCACCAATTTCCCAAATGTACGCCTGGCCAATGACGGCAGTCTGGTGGCCGATGCCGGCCCCACAGCCAAGCCCTGGCGCCACGTCAAGAAGGAGCGACGCGAGAAGCTGCGCAAGAAATTCTCCCATCTGGATGAGCACTAAGTGCAAAGTGTTTGCCACGCTCAAGACTATTTATAATGTACATTATTAGGACTAGAATTATCATTTGGCTGCGAATGAAATTAGATTTTTGATCCCCCCCCACCAGGGGATGGCAAGCTATCATGCTCTTCGTTTCTTGTCGCCAATCTAATCAATTTGGGTTAGATTTGATTAAGAATTTAAATCAACAAAAGAGGCAGCAGGCCACAGAGCACAAAACAGAGAGCAGTGCACTCTCTCGTGCAGTCATAAAATTGAGAGTGGGAATTACGCATCTGCAGAGTGCGTGAGAGCAGCAGCAGCAGTTAGTGGAGATGGCACCGCTCGAACGGAGGATGGCAACTGATAGACTGAACTGAACTTTGAACGTCGCCCCCTGCTATCATGTCTATCTGCAGGGAGTGTCTTTTGTGCGAAACGTTTCAGTTAGTTTGCAATCCGTCGTGTGTCGTGTCGCGTCGTATAGCAATGAGTACAGCGGGCGAAGATTATCTCTTCTGCAGGCAGTTCAGGGAGCTGTCTATCAGGCGTCGAGCGGGAGGACTGCTCGTCATACAGTTCCAGCGATGGCAGCGGCGCACCGTTTACGAGCTGATGAGAGCACTGGACGCAGCCAATGCGGACGAGGACATCAGCATTGTGGTGCTCTCGGGCGAGTTTGCCGTGGGGCGTGAGGGTGATTGCCAGCAGCAGCCGCTGGCCCTGGAGCAGGGAAAGGGTAGAGAGAAACGCAACGAGGCCGAGGATCGGTTTATTCAACACCGAGCCGCTGACTTTGTGATGCGATCGCTGGCCAAGAAGCTGCTTGGCGTCCGCAAGCTGCTGGTGGCCTTTGTGCAGGGCCCTTGCCAGGGCCTGGGCGTCAGCATCTGCAGCCTTTGCGATCTTGTCTATGCCACGGAGACAGGCCATTTCCTGCTCTCGCTCTCACACCTACATCCCTGCGTCGAGGAGGGGCCCAGCTGGAGCCTACCACAGATCGAGCTGTTGCTCCGTTTCGGCGAACGGGCCGATGCTCGCTGCGCATGGGGCAGCGGCTTTGTGGCCAGCCTGACGGCAGACGCTCAGGAGTTTTGGACACGCATGGACCAGTATTCGCGCCTGCCCACTGCCTCCCTGCTGGCCACCAAGCGGCTGCTACTACGCCCCGGGCGCGACTCACTATTGGCGCAGCTGCGGCAGGAGGGCACACCGCTGGCAGCTCAGCGTCGCCGCATTGCTGCTCCCTCCAAGCTGTGATCAAGTTGAATCTGTTTGTGCCACAACGGCGCGCCCTTCCCATCAATTTAAGCAATTGAAAATAACTTTACACCATACTTTTGTTGTGTTCCTATTTGTACAATTTATCAATAAAACAACTCGCGATTATCGGTTGGGTCTCCTTGAGTTAACAACTAAAAATGCGGCTATCTAATTTGGGCACGCAACGCTATGCCGCTGGGTATTTCCACATTGTTCAGCTGCAGCAGCTTCACCAGATTGCGAATGAACTCCTGCGACACCTTCAGCTCGTCATCGGCCTCAAGGCGCTCGTACAGATCGAGGGCCGCCTCGTAGTTATTGCTCTTGCTGAACTGCGAGAGCAGCATGTCGTAGATGCGTTGCTCATCGATGCTGCGCTGCACGCCACGCACGCCGCGGGCCAGACGCAGCAGGGTGCGGACGGCACCCTCCTGTCCCAGGTGCTCGCAGTTCTTCAGCAGCAGCTCGTGATTGATGCGGAACTCTGGATTAATGATCAGTCGTCGCAGCTGCGTCTCTGTGCCGGATTCGGCCAGTGCCAGCAGCAGGGCGCTGTTCATGTTCGCCGCCCCGTGCACACGGCTCACGGTTGCCGTTACCGCGGCCAAGTGCTGCTGGGCCGTGGCCGCTGTGGCGCCCGGAAAGCGTGCCAGCTCCTCCGCATCCCCATTGCCCAGCCGCACCAGCAGTGACAGCAGCTCGAACTGCAGCGGCGTGTGCTTGTGCTGGCTGGCCAGACGCTGAAACTCCGCCACCGCCGCATCCAAGTCGCCGCGCAGCAGCCACTCTCGCACAACGGGCCCGAGGAGCGCATTGTGGGCCTGGCAGTAGCCCAGCTGCCGCAGGAAGTCCAGTGTCTCTTGAGTTAGGTTGCGGCCAGTCGGTGCGGCCTCCTGCGGCTTGGTATCTGCGGCCATTTGGGCCACATGGGTGAGCAGCTGCCACACGTTCTTGATCACGTAGGTGCCACCAATGATCTTGTGCTGGTCGGCGCGACGCTGCAGCAGCTGCTTGGCTGCCTCCAGCTGGCCGCCATGCACCAGCAGCCCGGCAAAGTCAATCAGTTTGTGCTCATCGATCATAAAGCCTGCAAATAGTTATGGTTAAAGTGGGATGCATTCGATGGATGGATCTCCTTTCACCTGGGTATGTGCTCTGCAGTTTCTCCAGGCTCTGCTGTGCCCGTTTCAGATCCCGCAGCTTGATGTGCAGATCGAATATGGAGGCCTGCATGCCGGCGCTGGACTGGACATTGAGTGCCTGACACTTGGCCAGCAGCTGCTGGGCACGTTCCAGGCGACCGTTTCGCACGGACAACTGCAGCAGTCGGCGCAGGACACCGCGCGGATTGAGCTGCTTGGCCTCGAGCTCGATCAGATGGCACTCCAGCTCGTCCTGGCTCATGTCGCGCGGGTGCTTGATGAAGCCGCCATGTGCGGACGAGTCGGCCGGCAGGGTGAGCTTGGGGTTGCGCATCTTCTGCAGCGTCTTGCCCAGCGCCTGCAGCACCTGGCTGTCCTCAGTGGCTTGTCGGGCGATCGAGAGCAAAGCCTCGGCGGCGGCAGGCGACAGTTGCAGCTCCAGGCGTCGCAGCTCGTGCACGAACTTGAGCAGTGAGGCGGCATCCTGCCGCAGACGCGTCTGGGGGCCGCACATCTGCAGGAGCAGGGCACCGACAAAGTCCTCTTCCTTCTGAAGCGACCGCTGCTGCAGTGCCTGCACGAGCTGGGCGAACAGCTCGAAGCGCTTCGTGGCTCGGGCATGGACAGACATGGCGGACAGAGGTTGGAGCAGCGTGGACAGCTGGAGGCGCGTGGGATAGCGCTGCAGGAGGTCCAAGATCTCGGGAAGTTGCTGCTGCTGCAGCAGCTGGATGATCACGTGCCCAAAGACCTGGGAGGGCTTAATGCCCACCGACTCCAGCTGCTGGAGGGCACGCAGCGGATCCTGTAGCGTCTGCACGAGATTGGGCAGCAGGTACTGTCGCAGTGTGTCCTCGTCGCACTCGACACCCAGTCGCTGCATATCTGCGACCAGCCGCAGCATACCGCTCTCGCCGTCCCGCCGGTGCTGGTGCAGGATCAGGGGCCAGAAGTAATGCGGACGCAGCTCCTCTCCGGCATCGCTGAGAGCCTCGAAGCAGCGTAGAGCTGCGGCGGGCAGGCGGCGCAGGGCCAGCTCGGTGACCAGGTGCAGGGCTCGCTGGTTCTGTCCGCGCTGGCTAAGCTCGCGAGCGAACTGGATCGTCTCCTCCACGGGCACGCGAGCGCGAAAGAACTCCTGCAGGATGAGCGCCGCGTACTCGTCCACGTTCTGGTTGCCATTGAAAGTGGGTGTGGGCAGTGCAGCCACTAGTCGGATTACCAGCTGGGTCTGGCCCTGGTGCACCAGTTCGATGCAGAGGCTCCGCAGGGATGGGGGTAAGTCGAATCCAGTCAGATAGTCCTTGGGCAGCTCCTTGACCAGCTGCTGAACGAGCTCGGTGTCCACCGACTGGCTACCAAGAGCCCCGCGCAGCATCTGCAGCAGCTGGGGGGCAGTGAATCCCCCAGTGTGGACCTGCAGCAGATCCCGCGCCTTGGCCACCTCCTCGTTCTCCGCAAAGGCCGCGAAGCGAATCGCCTGGGTGCTGGCACTCGGCGGGATTCCCGCAGCCCGCATGCTGGAGAGCACAGACTCGACTCCGGGCAGATCCTTGTTGCGTCCGTGGCCCAGGAGCAGGGCGTGGAAGTTGGACTCTGTCAGCGGGAAGTTCTTTTCCCGCATCTCCGCAAGCAGCTCGGTGGCCTGGCGCATATTACCCGCAGAGCAGGCCATGTCCAACAGGCTGCTGTAGAGCGATGCATCGGCGGGTCCGTGGTAGACGCTGATCTCGGCCAGCAGTGCCCGATGGTCCGCCAGCGGCAGCCTGTTCTGGCGCAGCACCTCCAATTGTGTGTAGTAGTGGGCAAGCGTCGGCTGCCCCTGCTTCACCAGCTGCACCCACAGGCTCTGGAAGAGCTGCAGCCGCTCCTGGGCGCTTTGGGCGGGCAGCAGCTCGGGCACGCACGAGCCAAGCAGGAAGTGCAGCTGTGTGGCACTGAGTGCCTGTGCCGCCGGTGCGCGTGTGGCCTGAAGGTTCTCCAATAAGCGTCGGCACTGCTCGTAGTTGAGCAAACTGTGCTGCTGGTAGTACGTCTCCAGCTGCGTCCACAGATCCTCGGTGCTGATGGGTGCTGCAGGTGAGTCGGACAGGCGCCTGTTGCGTCCGCCTCCCTTGTCCGCAGCAGCGCAGCTACTACTGCTGCTGGCCAGGCATCGCTGCTGCAGGTGGTGGACAGGTGTCCGGGCCACAGTCAGAGACGGGTTCGAGCTCGTTGCATAACGCAATCCGTGGATTGTGGCGGGCAGAGCACCGACTGGCAGTTGCCCGAGTCGCGTTAAACGCACACACACACTTTGCAACAGACGCGCTCGTTGCATCGTCTCAACTTCATTCAGATTCTCTTAAAATTAAAAAAAAAAACGGATGGACACGGCTCAGAGGAGGAAAAACACAAACACGCGCCGGTAAACAGCTGTTCCGGTTAGCGGTGGGTGGCAGCTATCGATAAAACTATCGATTCACCTGTGGTCTGGGTCATATTTTTTAAAGTTATTTACAGTTATTTATCGAACGTAATTAGGATTGCCCATGCCCATATGTTGATGAGGGGTGAGCAGGAATCGTATGAAAGGATCGTCAGCACTGATCCTGCAGGTGTGCTGGGTTTTTAAAACTGAAAAGGGCTAGGGTGTGTTTAAATAATATGCACAATTCTTGTTTGAACTTTTCATTTTTGTTGTAGTGTTCCGTTTATTAGGCACAACTGGAGCAATTATGCTTGTATGTGTTGAATGTGATGTTGAAGTGTGTGGGTATGGCCTGCGGATAGTGTAAAGGAAACCGGAGAAGATGGAAACAATAAACTGAAAGTGCAGCATCGAACGTCTGTGATCTCGCCGATCTCGCCGGTTGCATATAAACATGGACAAAAAAATAAACAAAGCTCAGCCATTCCTTTCGTTTCAATTTTCGTCGCAAACGAGTGTCCCTCCCCCTACCTGTGTCGAATTGCCAAGCTTATTCGGAGTGTAGAATTTCGTTGCCAAGAACACACACACACGCACGCACGCACACACACAAACAAATCATCGAGAATTTTCACAGTTAATTCCGATCGAACACGAGAGAGAACTGCACGAGAGATAGATACATAGAGAGGGGAAAGAGGGAGAAACCGAGCCCGAGCCCGAGCCCGAGCGCGAGCTTCAGCTGCACGACGAATGGCTGTAGCGTCTTTTGGCGCCATCGCCATCACCCTTGGTTTTCATTTCCAAGTTGATCATTGCGATTTTCACGCGGATCTTGAAAGGTGCACCTTTGAGAAGAGCTTTAGCTGATAGAAAATGTCTGAAGGGGGAAATTCGCCACTGCCGCCGTTGCCCGAACAGCAGCCATCCACGAAGAAGAGCGTCAAATGCGTTCAGGAATTGTTTTTGGATGTGAAGCACTACAAGCTCCGCTGGGGCAAGTTCGCTAGGATGGCGAAGATGGGGCTGCTAGCGGAACGCATCGAACAGCTACCGCGGCCAATGGAAACCATGCCGGTGGTCGAGGTAAGCGCCAAACTTCAACCTGCCATCGCGATAATCCTACAGCTTCGTTCAACGCACATACAGTGCTGCCAGTACCTACGGGATATGTGCAGCAGCCTGAACACCGACGAGTTGGCCACCCTGCAGCAATTGGCCTGCATCTTGTTCCTCCTCGCTGATGGCGAACCGATGATGGACACATGCCAGGCGTCACTGCTGCGCCACAGCTTTAACGTTGTCGATTCGCTGGAGCCCATGCTGGTGCATCACTTTACCAAGCTGCTGCTGGACTACTTTGGTGGCACATCGAGCAGCAGCCGTGGCCTGGTGCTGCGTATTGCTCGACTCCTAGGGGTAAGGAGCGGCATCGGCAGGGCCGTCAGCGTGTGCCTGCTGTGGGACATCATCTTTAGCTATGCCGACATACCCATTGACATTCACCAGTACCGCGAGGTGAGTAACGCAGCTCTCGAGGCGACCTTAAGACCATGTCCCTGTTCCCTCGTTCCAGCTGAACGAGCTACGCGTTTTAAAGGATGTGCCCATGGCGGACTTGAGCAACACCAGCTTCAGGTGCCTCATCCGCGCGGTGGGCACTCTGCTGCACTTGCTGCTGTGCTGCCCGGACCTGGCCGAGTTTCTCAACCACGGCTATCCGAACTTTTACTTTCGCATTCAGCCACAGGAGGTGAACTTGCTGCGCACATGGCTGGTGAAGGCGGAGGGCTACATGGACGCTAACCGTCCGCGCACCGATGCTACCAAGCTGCAGGAAGTGCTGGACTATCTCTCTGCTCCCAAACCAACACGTCAATGGTGCCACGAGTGCCGCAACCAAAACGGCAATGTCCGAGTGCCCCTCTCCGACGTGGAGTGTGTTCTATCCAAGATGCGCATGTGAATAATATTACGAGACAATCAATCAGTAGGCCGTGCGGCATAGCATTATTTTGATATACTTTGAAATTTGTTTACTTGATAAAAGTCAATGCACCAAGAGCTAAATGAAAAATTTATAAATTCTGTTTCAACATTTTTCAAGTAATTTCCCGGCGGCGTGTGTGTTTGTTTGAGCGGGCATAATGAATGGTTTGAAAGATAAGGTCATCATCATGCAGGTGCCGAGCAGCGATGAGGATGAGATGGAAGTGAGTTCAGATCTAGATGCGATGATGTTTGAGGCTGTAGAGGAGAGCGGTGCCCAGGGAGACATTGAGTCAACAGACAGTGAGAATCAGCCGGACGCTGAGCCGTTGATTGCTGTGGTGGAGGCCCAGACGCCGCCAAGGAGCTCAGTTCCGGCCCGTAGTGCCCCAGCCGGAGTCACTGATGTCGATGCCAAGTTGAAGGCATTGTTCGAGCGCCAGCAGATCGTTAAGATGCTGTTGGGTCTCTGCGATGAAACAGATGGCGAGGGCGAGACCATTCATATCGTCATGGAGCTGCTTGGGGCAGAGATCGAGGGGCCAACCGCCGTGGACCGTCTCACCGATCAGCTGCTCTCAGTGCTCCCCGAGCAGACTCTGGTCGATGAGGGCATAATCCTGGACAACGAGCGCTATCACAGCTTCCGTAATGTTCTTGGCAACTATGCCAAGATCCATGCTTCCCGTCGCCTAATCGAGCAGCTGCCCACACTGGCCACTGGCAATTTTCTCGGTGGCACCCACGACGAAGCATTGCTCGCTCGCGTTGTCGCCGACGAAGTGCTCAAGATACCAGACTTGATGCGCCAGCTCTGGGCCTCACTCGAGGAAATGGATTTCTTCAATGAGGATAGCGCCTTCAATGCCTACCTGAAGGCCCGCAACCATCCCAATGGCAAGATTCTACGCGAGCTAATGCTCAGCCGCATATCGCGGGTCTTTCTATGCGTCGTCAGCTCGACATTCTATCTATTCTTTACCGAATTCGAGATCATACACGTGCTCCGGAACTGCTACTTGAGTGTTAATTCGGAAATCGAGGTGAGTTTGAGGCCACATGCTTTTGGCATCTTCCACATCTGACTTCTTGCAGATATTCCTTTCGGTTATACTTTGGCTGGAGCACAACTGGCCCGAGCGCAGCGAGTGTGCGGAGCGTGTCCTCGCGGAGGTTCGTTTCCATCTGATGCCCACCTGGTATCTGACCACCCTGAATCGCGCCAATCGCTGCATTCACTTTGCCCGTGTCAACCAATGCCCAGGCGTTAAGGCTCTGATTGCCAAAGGGCTCGCGTGAGTGTTTGTTGGGCCTGCTGTTCAGCCAGAACTTTTCCCTAACTTTCATTTCTCTTGCAGTGCTGCTGTGGCCAAGAAGGGATCTAATCCTCATTACAACTCCCAAACGGCTGCCAGTTTCTACAAAATTGATTGTCCAGTTCCACGTGAATGGATCGCCGATCCAGCTTGTGTCTATCATCACAAGTGCCACTGCCAGCGCTTCGTCTATCCGACATACGAAGTCTTCAAGCAGTACTTGTCGCATATCATTAATAGTGCCCCCTACTACTGGCACACCTTCCGCCCGGCCCAGGAGGTGTATCGCAATCAGCTGCGCTGCTGCTGCTACTTGCCTCAATTTCGCTAGGCCTCAAACCAACACATTTTCCCCTACACTACACTACACGACACTACACTACACATTGTCGGAAAATGCCGCTTCTGAATGTTGAACACAACACACAAGAATAGGTTGTCTTATGCCCATTGCAAATGATGCAATTAATATTTTATACATGCAAAAAACTGAACGGCATAGAAGAGACCCATAACGTAATATTCTCTATCCATATATAATGCCCAGACACCAGAAGCTCGGCGACAGTAAAGGGGCAAAAGTCGGAGAATAAATATTATTGGGTTGTAATTGAGAAGGTTTTTTGTTTCATTTTAATGCACGAAGATAGGATGTTAAATATGTGTCTGGGTTTCAATACAATAACTTCTTCCTTCAGTTAAATATTTTGTGTTTGCAGAAGGAGAGCTCAGCCTCCGCTCGAGCCGTTGGACATCGTGGACTCGCTCATGTGGAACTGTATCAATATAATGAGGTAAGTGGTTGTGGCGCCCACAATCTAAACAAGAATATTTAGAGAGTCATTAGGCCTGTGAGGTCCCAGCTCCACGCACCTACCGTATAGAGGAGTGTATTGTCGACATTGAAAAAGCCGGCGGCACTGAAGTAGAGTCTCTGGTGGAGTAGCTGCAGCGAGAACTGGGTGATCTAAGGGTGATCAGGGGGAGGGAGCACAGAGTTCACAGATCACAAGAAGAAACGTACGGAATAACCTACCAGAGCATTGTGCAACTCATTTGTCAGATCCACGCTGACCTGGTGCAGACTCAGCGCCAGGCGTGTTGCCTGCAAGGGAGACATTTTGAGAGTGGAGAGAGCAGGGTCTCTAGGCTTTGCCTACTCACACATTGCGCTGCGCAGTCACAGATTAGGGAGAGAACCAGAACGTTGCCCAGGTGCGGTGCCGACCACACGGCACTGGCCACAATCTGAAGGATGTCATAGGGCGATGCCGCCGACTGTCGAAAGTTGAGGAAGATCCAGTAGCAGTTGGAGGTGATGGCCAGGAAGTCATTGCCCACCAGCAGCAGTATGGAGAGGCCGTGGCTGCGGTTAAGCAGTGCCACCAGCGACCACACCCTCTGATAAAGTTGCCGCACAGCCACCAGGCGCATCATTGAGGACGCCGCGCCCGATGTCTCCATCTCCGTCTCCGTCTCCGCCACCGTATCCTGCAACTGTAATGTTCGGAGGGCATCGAGCAGCAGCTCCAGGCGCTGGGCCACAATCAGCACAGCGGTGAAGATCTGAAAATAGCGTAGGCCGCACACGAGCATCGGCAGGAGGTACTGAATCCAGTAGATCGGAAACTGACGCGAACCCGGAGCCACTAGCTTCGCCACCAGTATCAGGCTCTGGCTGGCCACATAGCCCCACAGCATCCACATAGCCTGACGATTGGTGCGACGGTGCACCTGTCTGCTGTCCACGTTCATCTGAAGGTCCCGGGCCAGCTGCCGATCAATCTCGTCCAGTTCCGCATAGAAATTGCACTGCGCCTGTCTCTGCCACAACGCCTCCAGCAGGGCGGCCATGTGCGCCACCCGTATGCCCACCAGTTGGATAAAGTCCACTGTGTGCCCAATGCTGCTGATGGTCGTCTCGGCATCCGTCATTTCATCTGCATCCCCACTGCCGCTGCCCTCCTGAAAGAGCCCATAGGCGGTGTAGCCGCCGGCCGCCACCAGAACCGTCCAGCCGTAGAGCTCCAGCCAGCTAGAGCGACGCAGGAGTCCGCTCTCCTTGTCCAGGCGCCACTGCCAGAGATTGCACACCTGACAGACGCGATGCAACGGCCCCAGAGCTCTCAGTGTGTCCATGGCAAGGGCTCGCCAACTCGACTGTGTATCTGCTGGATATCTGACTATATGTCGATAGATACCTGTAGCTGGTTGGAATAGATAGTAAATCGATTAGGTGGTTATCAGGCTGTGACAATTAAACGTTTGGTACGCTAATCAACAGCAAAAATGATTTAAATGCGAATCGCTGAGAGTTAATTCTGCTGAGACGGTTCTTGCCACTTGCTGTGAGGCAATCAAAGGTGCAACTGCCGCCGAACGGTGTTGAAATGTAAATGGAATGCCAGCCAGGATACTTTGTGCATATATGTATGGTACGTCTATTAAGTACTAATCCATCATTACTAATTAAGGTATTTTCCAATGTCAAGTCATCAATCATCAAGCGGACAACTGACACTTGTCCAAGGTGGATCTACTTCCAGATGGTGGAGCGGAGGGCTACCTGTAGATTCGGGCGCTTAAAGATGAATTTCAAGTAAAACAATTTGAGTTTTTCACATAAATACGTTTATTATAATTTTCAGATTGTTGGTTTTGTTTTTCTTTTTGGAAATAGTTCTGGAGTAAGCATTACTTTGACGTTCATAAAATGTAATACATATACAATACATATATGAATATATATATATATATATATCGATTTGCTTGTTTTGTTTTGTTTTCTTCTGGCTAACCACTCGACCCATGAATCGCATCCATTTTTGTGCTTGCTCTTTGCTCATTCCTCTCTCATTCCTCGAAATCTCAACCTAAACTCTTCCTTCAACTCGTTCCTGCTGCCATCCGCTCTGCTCTTTTCTTCCATCAGTGTCTGGCCATAGAGCCTTGGATATATTTTTGTAGTAGCTTTAATTTTTGGATATACGAGAAGTACTACTTTGCTCTGTTCTGTTCTGCTCTTCCTGCTTGCCTGCCCTTTTTCGCGTTTTGCTACTCGTAGTATAATGATTATATAGAGGGTTTTTTGTTGTATACACAACTCTACACACACACACACACACACACACACACACGCGCACACATGTTAGCATGTATGTGCATAGATCTATGCATGGGTGTTTGTGTTTAATTAGTATGTAAATTTGATTTAAATCGAAGCTGCTAAAAAGTAAAAGCAAATTCAACAAACAAACTCTCGTGTTACGTTCACAAGTACGACGAGTGCCATATCATATCATAATCATATCATATATGCGATAGACATCGGGATTCCTTACACTTACTATACGAGACTATATGTATGTCTGTTTGTGTCTGTGTGTTTGTGTGTATGCGTGTGTGTGTGTGTGTGCGTGTGTGTGTGGTATAAGGTATAAGGTAATAATATGCAGATATCTCTGTGTTCTGTTCTGTTTGTTTTAAGGCAATGTGGGGTAGGGTAGGGTAGGGTTGCGAAGGGGATATAATGGGCGGGGAGGTGATGGTGCATATCTGATCTTATCGGATTCTACCAAACAAATCGCGAACAATTAGAGTAGTAAAGGGGGTGGCGGAGTGGGATGGAAAGGTAAGGGAAGGGAAGGGAGTATACAATACGTAAGTTCCCGTAACAAAACTCACAGACGAGCACATTTGTCTTTTTAGTTGCGTTTTTTTTTTTTGGTTTTTTGGTTTTTGGGGGAAATTCGTTTAGTGAAAGGCAAAAAATGTCTTCTGGCTTGTGAGAAGATTTTCCATATAATTTGTTCAAGCAAAAACATCAAATACGCTCAAGTATATATGTATATATGTATGTATATGTATTATGTGTATATATATTATATATATAGTGTTGTATATAGTTCATGTCCATGCATATACGCATTTTAAATATCATGTGTGAGTATCTGTATTCTTTTTTTTGTTATTGATTTTTTGCATTTTTACTTTTGGGCTTTTCTTTAATATTTCCCTAGGTTTTGGGTTTTGTTTTCGTTTGGTTTTGTTTCGCTTAGCGCACGAATTTTAGGAAAAAATTATTATTAATAAATCGCCTGCTCTTAATCGTTTTACTTTTTTTTTTCTTTTGTTTTTTTTGGTTTTGTTTTTGCGATTTTACTTTAAATTTAAAATCCTCGAAGCGGCCAAATACGGAACTCAGGGATAAAGGATATTGGATAAAGGCTCACAGGGTCGTATCTGTCTGCTGTTTGGAGAATGCTCCTTCTCCTCCTAGTCCTCCTTTAAGCCTTGTTTAGGCTGGCTGTCTGTTTGTCTGACTTTCACTTGTCTTTATTCGTCATCATCGTCTTAGCCCTACGATTGTGTGTATAATTTTCGCACTTAAATTTTGCTTTATTTTTTTTGGTTGCTTATCAAACGTTTGTAGACTGGACGGTTGCCAGTTGACTGTTGTTTGTATGTTTTTGTTTTTGTTTTTGTTATCGGATCTGTAGCTATTGTATCTGTAGCTGTTTATTGTTTTTTTCTGTATAAGAAGCAACGCAAAAATATACGACGCATATAGCCTAAAAGTCTGTCTGTCGCCAGATAATATAATTATTATTATATCGTATCAATATCAAATATTCAATTTCAATTTCAATATATCATTATCAATTTCAGTTTAAATTTCAATTGTTTTGGTTCAAGCTAAATGTCTCCCTTGAGTAATTGAGTAGATATTTAATTTTAAGTTACTTTAATTTGTCTTAATGTTGTTTGTTCTTTGGACTGTGTTTACTTGCTGTGGCCTCGAATTGCTTACTTCTGTGGTTACATAAATTGATTAAAATTTTCCAGTAGTGTGCCTTTGTTTTGTTTATTTTGTTTTTTGCTTGTTGCTTTTTGTTTGTTTTGTATATTTTTGTTTGCATTGCAATATTACTTTGTATTTGTTTTGTTTGCAAATTTGTTATTCTATGACTATGAAAAAGTAAAAAAAATATAGAAAAATAACCATCTTCATTCACTTTGTGTACTTCATATTTATTCGTATTTAGTTATCTTTGCTCATCTCATCTCACGTCATCTCAACATCCTCTCATCTACTCTTTCTCGCTTTTCACAGTATCTGTCTCAACATTCGACCCCAAACCTAATCCCAAGCCCAACCCCCCAATCACAAGCCCTGTTCCAGTTCAAGTTCTTAGTCTCACACTCTGATGCTCCTCCTCACTTCTCCATACCAGTTGATCAATCATCATACCCTCGTAAACCATATATAGTAACATCAGCATTAACATTATCGTTATCGTCTTCCGTCTTTGTCATCGTAATTGTAATCGTCAACGTTTATCACCATCACCATCACCATCACCATCACCATTACCATCGTCAGCGTCATCACTACCATCATCAGCAATCGAGTCATTCCTTTCCATTCTTAAACATATATTCAAGACTTTCAGTTTCCTAGCTACAACATTCAGACTCTGTCCCCCAATCCCAAACACAATCCCATTACCCGACCATTCCAGACTCTAGTTTCTGCACTTCAGTTTCCCTCCCTCTACTATATAGAAGTGTACGTATATCGTGTTGCTATAGCTTGCTGGATTATAAGTCTTTCTGCGGCTGCCTTAAATAACAATAATAATAAACAGAAAACCAAAACCAGAAACGGAAACCAAACGAAAACGATATACTCGTACATATGAAACTGATAAATTGACTACGGAAATGACTTTGTATTTGGAGTATCATTGCATTTTTCTCTGGTTGGAGGCACATTCAGCAAGGATCTAGGATCAAGGATCTCAGATCTCGGATCAGTTTTGATGGTTTAAGGGGAAGCGGGGGTAATCGCCTGCTAGCCCAAAGCGTTTGATTAGTTATATGTATAGTTCGTATTGGATACACGTATTCCTTCTGTCTTCTAGCATGTGTGCTCTTCTTCGTATTATTATGTCGGCAATCGCTCTTACAATATTATATTAATGCGATAGCTCTCTCGCCCCCTCTCTATTTGTCTTTTTTGTTTACGGGTTATACAAGTACATTTATAGTTTCATTATTCACCTTCTCTTCAAATTCAAAATACCTGCATAAGTGGGTCTGCTATATTTTGCTGTCGGGGGATTCGTAAAAGTTTCGACTAATACAATAAACATGAATAATAATATCTTTTCATTAATATAGAGATTTTTACGTTTTCTTCTTTTTTGTTTTCCATTCTTTTCTTTGTTTTTTTTTTATATTTTATTTTCTTGTTTTTTTTTTTTTGTTTGTTTTGTATATTTTTGCTATGCGGTTTTGAAAACTATTTTGATCTTTGGATTACTAGGCAAGGTAGCTCGACGTTATACAATGAATAAGCAACAAATAATCATCATTCATCATTCAAAATTCAACATGCCACTCCTATGAGTGGTTCTTTATTGGATCTTAGGGATCTCAGCTTACGTTGCGCATTTTGGTGATTGATTGATTGATTTTTTTCTTTACTCTGTTTTTATTTTGTAATTAATTTGTTCAAAATAAATATCAATTAATTACTTAGCTTTGTTTTGTTGTTATTTTGGGGGCTGGTGAAATAAGTTTCTTGGCAAAAGCTTAATAGACGGCATTGGCAAACAAAATGGCGTCATGCATGTGACCCGTTACTCCGCCATATTAGCTCCTGCTTCTTACTTCCGATTACCGTTTCCCTTGCGCACGGAACTTGCCATATTGCATTCGATTGTTTTGTATCCTTTCTCTGTTGCTGTTTGTTGTTTTGGTTTGGTTTTGGTGTTGGTGTTTTGTAGTCGTTGTCGTTCTTTTCATTGTCATTGTCCTGTGTCCGAGGCCCGATTCCCCGCACTATCATTTAGTCATACGAGGGCTACGATCCTCCGTCAGTGTTCAGAGTGTTGTTGCAAATGTGATTTGTGATTGTTTGGTTGGTTTCTTTCTGGTTTAGTCATCGTCGAATGCAATAAACAAGCCCGTGGCCTAGAACTCCAGGCGATAGGCAGAGCACGAGGTCTCATGATCCTGCAAGTTGATCGTGCAGCGTGAAGCCGATGGCGACAGATCGATGCGATGCTTGGCCAGCAGCTCCTCATTTTCAGCCACCCAGTAGCCAAGCACATCGGTGTCGTATGTGGGTATGATGGTAACCTCTGTTAATCGGGAATAAAAATGGAAATTCCGTTAAGTAAAAGCTTTGAGTGATCACTCTCTATCCATGACTTACCCAACTCTTTGTCCTCCCAGGTCTGCTTGGCCTCCAGCAGGGCATCGTACACCTGACGACTGGGCTCAGTGCCCGAGAAGACATAGTAGCGTGCACGAACGCGCTTGAAGAAGTCCACGTGGGCGTAGTACGAGTTGCCGTTGTGGGGCACGTAGGTCAGATCCACATAAACCGGAGCCGGCTTCTTGCTGACCTTGTTCGGTGATTCGCTGCGCTTGCGGATGTTCTTCTCGTTGTTCAGACGCGTCTTGGTGGCCACCAGACGACGCTCCTTCTTGGGCGTGGTGCGGATGTCGGAGCCACCCTCGACGGGCAGCGGTGCGGGTGAGGGTAAGCCCAAAGGCTTGCCCCATTCCTCCAGGCGATCCTTTGGATCCTTGGGCAGAGTTGCGGAGCCGCCACTGCTGGTGCTGCTCGTTGTGGTCGTGGTTGTGGTTGTAGATGTCGTCATGGCTGCTCCATCTCCCTCCTTCTTCTCCTGCGATGATGTTTCTGTGGTTGTGCTTGTGGCTGTGGTTTTAGTCTGACCGTCGCCCACTGAGCTGAAGCTGCTCTCGGCGATGCGCAATCGCTGGACATCGCTGAGTGGGAAACGTTGGCGCTCGGCGGTGCTGGTGACAATCTGTTCGACCTCGTCGGCCTTTGACGGGGAGTAGGAGTACTTGGCGGTGACGGAAGACATTACCTCGGCGCCACGCGCCTGCACATGCTCCTCGAGCGCCTTCTGGAAGTCCTTGTCCGCCTGGTCGAGGAACTTGTGCCCAGCCCAGGTCTGGCTGCTGCTCTCCACGCTGTCCGATGACTGGCTATCGCCTGGCGCCCCACCGGCTCCTCCCTGGATGGGTATCGGCTCGGTGCTGCTGCTGCTGGGCTTCACATCGAAGCTGTCGGGCAGCGCCCCATAGAACGAGGTGGCCATGGGATCGGCTGTACGCGGCAGCAGAATGGAGCGGGCTGTGGAGTGCTCCTCGCTGCCGTATTGCGGCGGAATGTCATCCTGGCTGTCGTCGGCATCCAGGTCGGACCGCTTGCTCACGCCAGAGCTCGAGTGCTGCAGCTCGTAGCTGGTGGCACTTCTGGGCGAACCGGGCAGTTCCTCATCGTCCTCGCTGCCCGGGGTGCTGGAACGATAGCCGGAGCCTCGCAGCAGAGCCACCTCCTTGGGCAGGATCTGGTCGCGGTCACTCTTCTCGCTCTCACTGGTGGTGCGGGTGGTGGTCACGACCACCTTCTCGCTGTCTGGCTCAGAGCTGTCCGTGGTCGTCACCGTCTTCTGCTCTGTGACGATCTCTTTGCCATCCGAGGAGATCACCTTGGTGACTGTGGTGATTGTCGTGGTAATGATCTTTTCCGTGCTGCCGCTCAGCGCCGTGGTGCTCTCGATGCCACGCAGCTCGTGCAGATCGGGCAGATCGGCTTCGACATCCCCGTGATCTCCGTCCAGGGACATCTGCTTAAGCTCGTCCTTGCTGACGCGTGGGAACGGTGACGTTGGCTTCGGTGACGACTCCGGCGTCTCAGTGTGCGACTCCCGACCCAGCGGTGTGGGTATGGACTGACTCTCCGAGGTGAGGCCACCGGGACTCGACTTGCCGCTTGTATCCTTGGGCGATAGAGGGCCCGAGGTTGAGGCAATGCTTCCACCCCCAGCCGCTCCTCCTGCCGAAGAGCCCGTTGGCTTCACGCTGGGACTAACCGGTGCCGTCGGTGGCGTCTTGCGGTCCACGATGTCACTGTGGCCTTCTGCCTGGTCCTGGTCGATCTGCGTGAGGGTGATGGACTCCACCTTGCCGGCAGTCTTCGAGGTGGTGCTAGACTTCTGAGTGGTGCTGGTGCTGGTGGTAGTGCTGGTGCTGCTGCTCTGCTGGTCGCTGGATTGCAGCAGAGTTGTTGTCTTGCTAGTGGTTGACATATCCTTCGATGAGCTGGACTGCTGTTGCTGTTGCTCCTGTTCGTGATGGTCCTCCTCGTGCTCCTCAAGCGTGGCAATCGATTCGACCTCCTCGGAGGGCTTGTAGATGCTGGTCATCATGATGGTGGCAATAGACTTGGAGCGTTTCTCCTTCACGCTGGCCCGCTCCTCCTCCTCGTCGCCGTCAATGTCATCGTCCTCCGGGTCGCTGTGGGTCTGGCGACCCTCGCTGGTGTGGCTTAGCACTGACTCGCGTCGCGACTCGTCCGTGCCGACGAAAACTGTCCTCTGGGTGGAGGTGGCGCTGCTGCTAGTGGCCTTCCTCAGGCACTCCTCTGCCGTCTTGGAAGCCTCGGCACTGAAGGTCTCCTTGGCCGAGACGATCTTCTCAGTGGCCAGAAATTCGGCGACGGTCTCCTTGAGGCTCTCATCCCTGGTGCTGCTGCTGCTGATTGTGCTGCTTTCGTGGGTCTCCTCCTTCGTTTCCTTGGACAGAGCCTTCTGGGCGCTGCTTGTCTGGATCTCGCTGACAATGGACTCTGAAGAGCACTCCTCGGACTGGATGAGCAGCTCCTCCAGCATCGATGAGGCTGCAGTGCTTGTCTTCTCTACCAGTTTGATGAGGCTCTCGCTCTCGCCGTCCTCCTTGACGCTGGTGCTGGTGCTCGCCTTCTCTGTGACCAGGCTGGAGAGGGACTCGCATCGGGAGCCATCTTCTACCTTCAGGCTGCTGCTCAGCGACTCGCTGGACTGGAGGGTGGAAGACTCCTCCTTCAGCAGGCTCTGGCTCACAGTGGACTTGGACACGGAAACCGTTTCGCTGGACTTTTCCTCCTTCTTCTCCTCCTTGGTCTCGATTGTCGTAGAGATAGTGGAAGTCTCCTCGTCCTTGGCGCTTGTGTGGCCAGTGCTAGAGGCTGGTAGCGAGGATTCCGTCTCCTTGGTAGTCTTGACTTCCTTTTCGCTGATATGACTGGCCACGGATGCGGGACGGGAGGCCTCCATAGCCTCTTCCTTGTGACTCTGCTGACTCTCACGCCTGGCCGCAGTTGGAGATTTCTCATCTACCTGCTCGGCTGCACTGCTAAGCCGTGAAGCGGGACGCGAGGTCTCCTTTGAGACGACCTGAGACTTATCCTGCTCTTCCTCCTTGGCTTGGCTCTTGTGGCTTGCAACGGACTCGGGGCGCGAGGGAATTGATTCTGTGGCTCCCTGTTGGCTGGCTGCAGACTCTGGACGGCTGGGGTCCTTGCTGGCCGCTCTATCTGCGCCCTCCCTCAGCTGAGCTTTTTCTGATTGCTCGATTTTGTCCTTCTCTTCGATGGAGATGGGGCCGGACTTCTGGTCGGGTGAGGACTTTTCGGATTCAATGTCCACCTTCATCACATTGATCTCCAGGGACTCTTTGGTGGGCGTCGAGGCTGTCTTTGGGCTTTTGTCGGACTCCTCATCGTCGGGATCAGCGGACTTTAGCTTCTCCTCCAGCTCCTTCTCATCAAAGTCGGGTATGATATCGGTAATGTCCTTGTCGGACTTCAGCACCTTGGCCACATCAGCCACGATCTTGAAGACCTCCTCCTCTCGCGGCGACAGCGGACGCACGGGCTGCTTTGTCAGCATTGCTGTCTTCTCGGTTGGTGGCGAGAACCTGTGCTCCTCATCCTCTTCCTTGATATCGTGCAGGACGGGCTCATCTCGCTCACAGATGGTCACCGTGAACTCGGGCGACCCAACGGTGGTGATGTGTGTCTCCCGTAGCTCAGAGAAGCCACTGAGATCTAGGCTGCCCTTGTCAGAAGCGTCCGCAACGTCGGCGACTCCATCTGTGGTAGTTTTGGTGTCCGCCTCGGACACCACTTTATCTGCAACGTCGCTAACTTTCTCTGCGACTTCAGAGACTTTTTCTGCAACGTCGGTGAGCATTGCTCCAGCAGTCTCGACAGCAGCGTTTATCAAAGAGGTCACAGCACTCACTTTGGTGTCCACCACAGATTGCAGCTCTGTTAGCTGATGGCTGCTCTCCTTGCTGACCTTCTCAAGGGTCTCCACCACTGTGCTCTCAATAGTCTCGACGGTGGTCGCCGTCTTTTCCTCCACTACCACCTTAGTGTCCTTGAGATCCAACAAATCAATCAACTCAACGCTTGCTGGTGCACTTTCTGCTTGGGTGATATGCTTTTCCACTTTCTCAATGGTTTCCTCGAGGGCTTCCAGTAGAGGGGAAGCCTCATCCACAGGGCTAGACGCTGTGTGCGCTGCAGCAGCAGCCTGGGAGAGTTCAGCGGGCTTAGATATTGCACTAGATCCCGAGGAAGTATCCAGCGGTGGCTTCGAGAAGTCGCCATCGGCTACATCTACGGGACTGGACAGGGTCGGTAGCTTTCCTTTGGGCTCGGCTGTGGTTTGGCTCAACTCAAGGCTTAAGTCAGCGATGGATTTTGGGCCCTCCTCGATCGGAGACGAAGCTGTTTCTAAAGACGACTCTGGGCGGGACGCTTCCTTTGAGGCAGCGGGGGACGACTTATCATCCTTAACGCTTCCGGTAAGCGATGCTGGTCGCGATGTCTCCTTTGATGGAGCGGCTGACTTGTCATCGCTCTTTATACTTTCTGGCTGAACGCTTTCGGCTACAGACTCGCGCCGGGAAGCCTCTGTTGCACTTTCAGGTTTGGGGCTTGCAATTGTGGCACCATCGACGGCTGAGTCTGGTCGTGAAGTTTCCTTTGAGACTGCCGTAGGAGGAGAAGCGCTTCTCTTTTTACTCCCAGCCAGGGACTCGCGACGTGATGCCTCCTTTGATTTGTCATCAGGTACGCTCTCAAGCTTTTCAGCATCGTCTTCGACGCTCTCCACAACGGATTCTGGTTGAGAGGTTTCCTTAGAGGAGGCCTCCTTTGCACTTGCCGGCTTACTAGTTTCTGCGATTGATTCGCGACGTGATGGCTCCCCTGACTTGGCTTCATCACTGCCTTCTTCTGCAGGAGATTCTGGCCTCTCTAAATCTTCACCAAAAGGGGACTTGTGGGCTTCATCAATAGGACTCGATACAGTCTTCTCTGTGCCAACTTGGGCAAGCTCAGCTGGCTGTGAAGGGGCAGACGGTTGTGTTGTGGCGCTAGTTGTTGCGGGAGGAAAATCTCCATGAGCAACGTCGACAGGACTAGAGAGCGTGGGGAGATCCCCCTTTAGGTCAATGATCAAGGGCAGCTTTATTTTTTCAGCTTGTTCGAATTGTGCGAAATCCTTTGGTGCCTCCTCAATTGGAGAAGACGCAGTTTCCGCCACTGAGTCCGGTCGAGATGTTTCCTTTGAAGGAACTTGAGACGGTTCCTTAGACTTGTCATCCTTCAAGCTCTCTGGTTTTGCTGAGTCTTCTTTTACACTTTCGGCAGCAGATTCTGACCGCGAGGGTTCCTTCGATGGTACGGGAGACTTACCATCCTTAGCACTCTCTTCTTTGACACTTTCTGCAGGAGAATCTGGTCGTGGTGACATCTGCTCCTCGACAGAAGGAAATTTCGGCGCTACATCAACAGGTGACGAGAGAGTTTCTGCCGTGGCTACTTTCGACTCTTCTGCTGGTTGAGTGGGACCAACTGTAGGTTTTGTTGAAGTGGCCGGAAGAACATGTGAGAAGTCGCCCTGGGCAACGTCCACGGGGCTAGAATCTGTAGGCAGCTTGCCTGCCGCTGCATCCGCATGCAGGCTAAGTGTTAGGTGAGCCTTTGTTATGAGTTCGCTCCCTGGAAGCTCCTTTGGCGCCTCTTCAATTGGCGAAGATGCAGTTTCCATAGGCGATACGGATGACTTCATGTCCTTTTCGTGGTCATCAGGAATACTTTCTGCAACAGATCCTGGCCTTGGTGAAGCTTCCTTAGAAGGAACAGCAGACTTTTCATCAGCTGTTTCTAAATTTTCAGTCACATCTTTGATACTTTCTGCCACTGATCCCGGTCGAGAGGGTTCTTTTGAGGCAAGTGCAGACTTCTCGTCCTTGGTGCTTCCTGATTTTACGCTTTCTGCGACTGACTCACGACGACTTTCTGGCTTCTCAGCTTCACCTTTGACGCTTTCTACTACGGAAGGTGGACGTGAGGGTTCCTTTGAGGCAACTTGAGACTTCTCGTCCTTGGCGCTTCCTGCTTTGACGCTCTCTGCGACCGATTCACGACGACTTTCTGGCTTCTCAGTTTCATCTTTGACGCTTTCCGCAACCGATTCGGGTCGAGAAACTTCTTTTGAGGAAACAGCAGACTTCTCGTATTTCGTGCTTTCTGCCTTTACGCTCTCTGCGACGGATTCACGACGGCTTTCTGGCTTCTCAGCTTCACCTTTGACGCTTTCTACTACGGAAGGTGGACGTGAGGGTTCCTTTGAGGCAACTTGAGACTTCTCGTCCTTGGCGCTTCCTGCTTTGATGCTCTCTGCGACCGATTCACGACGACTTTCTGGCTTCTCAGTTTCATCTTTGACGCTTTCCGCAACCGATTCGGGTCGAGAAACTTCTTTTGAGGAAACAGCAGACTTCTCGTATTTCGTGCTTTCTGCCTTTACGCTCTCTGCAACGGATTCACGACGGCTTTCTGGCTTCTCAGCTTCACCTTTGACGCTTTCTACTACGGAAGGTGGACGTGAGGGTTCCTTTGAGGCAACTTGAGACTTCTCGTCCTTGCTGCTTCCTGCTTTCACGCTCTCTGCAACTGATGCTCGACGGCTTTCTGGCTTCTCAGCTTCACCTTTCACGCTTTCCGCTACCGATTCTGGTCTTGAAGCTTCTTTTGATGCAAGTGGAGACTTCTCGTCCTTGGTGCTTCCTGCCTTTAAACTTTCTACAACTGAAGCTCGACGGCTTTCTGGCTGTTCGGCTTCATCTTTGACGCTTTCTGCTACGGAAGGTGGACGTGAGGGTTCCTTTGAGGCAAGTGGAGACTTCTCGTCCTTGGTGCCTCCTGTTGTTACGCTCTCTGCTACCGATTCACGACGACTCTTTGGCTTCTCTGTTTCACCTTTGATGCTTTCCACCACCGATTCCGGTCGAGAAACTTCTTTTGATGCAAGTGGAGACTTCTCGTCCTTGGTGCTTCCTGCCTTTAAACTTTCTACAACTGAAGCTCGACGACTTTCTGGCTGTTCGGCTTCATCTTTGACGCTTTCTGCTACGGAAGGTGGACGTGAGGGTTCCTTTGAGGCAAGTGCAGACTTCTCGTCCTTGGTGCTTCCTGATTTTACGCTTTCTGCGACCGACTCACGACGACTTTCTGGCTTCTCAGCTTCACCTTTGACGCTTTCTGCTACGGAAGGTGGACGTGAGGGTTCCTTTGAGGCAAGTGGAGACTTCTCGTCCTTGGTGCTTCCTGCTGTTACGCTCTCTGCGACGGATTCACGACGGCTTTCTGGCTTCTCAGCTTCACCTTTGACGCTTTCCGCTACCGATTCGGGTCGAGAAACTTCTTTTGAGGCAACAGCAGACTTCTCGTCTTTCGTGCTTTCTGCTTTTACGCTCTCTGCGACAGATTGACGACGACTTTCTGGCTTCTCAGCTTCATCTTTGACGCTCTCTGCCACAGAATCTGGTCTTGAAGCTTCCTTTGAGGAAACTGCAGACTTCTCGTCTTTGGTGCTTTCTGCTTTTATGCTCTCTGCGACGGATTCACGACGGCTTTCTGGCTTCTCAGCTTCACCTTTGACGCTCTCAGCCACAGATTCTGGTCTTGAAGCTTCCTTTGAGGCAACTGCAGACTTCTCGTCTTTGGTGCTTTCTGCTTTTACGCTCTCTGCGACCGATTCACGACGGCTTTCTGGCTTCTCTGCCTCATCTTTGACTTGCTCTGCGACGGATTCTGGTCGAGATGCCTCCTTTGAGGCAACTGCAGACTTCTCGTCTTTGGTGCTTTCTGATTTTACGTTCTCTGCGACGGATTCACGACGGCTTTCTGGCTTCTCAGCTTCACCTTTGACGCTTTCCGCTACCGATTCGGGTCGAGAAACTTCTTTTGAGGCAACAGCAGACTTCTCGTCTTTTGTGCTTTCTGCCTTTACGCTCTCTGCGACGGATTCACGACGGCTTTCTGGCTTCTCAGCTTCACCTTTGACGCTCTCAGCCACAGATTCTGGTCTTGAAGCTTCCTTTGATGCAACTGCAGACTTCTCGTCTTTGGTGCTTTCTGCTTTTACGCTCTCTGCGACCGATTCACGACGGCTTTCTGGCTTCTCGGCATCATCTTTGACGCTCTCTGCAACAGATTCTGGTCTTGAAGCTTCTGCTGAGGGAAGTGGAGACTTCTCGTCCTTGGCGCTTCCTGGCTTTACGCTCTCTGCGACCGATTCACGACGACTTTCTGGCTTCTCGGCATCATCTTTGACAGTCTCTGCAACAGATTCTGGTCGTGAAGCTTCCTTTGAGGCAAGTGGAGACTTCTCGTCCTTGGTGCTTCCTGCTTTTACGCTTTCTGCAACTGATGCTCGACGGCTTTCTGGCTTCTCAGCTTCGTCTTTGACGCTCTCCGCAACAGATTCTGGTCTTGAAGCTTCTTCTGAGGGAAGTGGAGACTTCTCGTCCTTGGCGCTTCCTGCCTTTACGCTCTCTGCGACCGATTCACGACGACGTTCTGGCTTCACTGCCTCATCTTTTGCCTGTTCTGCGACGGATTCGGGTCGAGATATCTCCTTTGAGGCAAGTGGAGACTTCTCGTCGTGGGCGCTTCCAGCCTTTACGCTTTCGGCAACTGAAGCTCGACGAATTTCTTGCTTCTCAGCTTCATCTTTGACGCTTTCCGCTACCGATTCTGGTCTTGAAGCTTCCTTTGAGGCAAGTGGAGACTTCTCGTCCTTGGTGCTTCCTGCTTTTACGCTCTCTGGGACCGATTCACGACGGCTTTCTGGCTTCTCGGCATCATCTTTGCCGCTCTCTGCAACAGATTCTGGTCGAGATGCTTCCTTTGAGGCAAGTGGAGACTTCTCGTCCTGGGCGCTTCCAGCTTTCACGCTCTCTGCTACTGATGCTCGACGGCTTTCTTGCTTCTCAGCTTCATCTTTGACGCTTTCCGCTACCGATTCTGGTCGAGATGCTTCGTTTGAGGCAAGTGGAGACTTCTCGTCCTTGGTGCTTCCTGCTTTTACGCTTTCTGCAACTGATGCTCGATGGCTTTCTTGCTTCTCAGCTTCATCTTTGACGCTTTCCGCTACCGATTCTGGTCTTGAAGCTTCCTTTGAGGCAAGTGGAGACTTCTCGTCCTTGGTGCTTCCTGCTTTTACGCTCTCTGCGACGGATTCACGACGACTTTCTGGCTTCTCAGCTTCATCTTTGACGCTCTCTGCGACAGATTCTGGTCGAAATGCTTCCTTTGAGGCAGGTGGAGACTTCTCATCCTTTGCGCTTCCGGCTTTGACGCTTTCTGAGACCGAATCACGACGACTTTCTGGCTTCTCAGCTTTATCTTTAACGCTCTCTGCGACAGATTCTGGTCGAGATGCTTCCTTTGAGGCAAGTGGAGACTTCTCGTCCTGGGCGCTTCCAGCCTTTACGCTATCGGCAACTGAAGCTCGACGACTTTCTGGCTTCTCAGCTTGATCTTTGACGCTTTCCGCTACCGATTCTGGTCGAGATGCTTCCTTTGAGGCAAGTGGAGACTTCTCGTCCCTGGTGCTTCCTGCTTTTACGCTCTCTGCAACTGATGCTCGACGGCTTTCTGCCTTCTCAGCTTCATCTTTGACGCTTTCCGCCACCGATTCTGGTCGAGATGCTTCCTTTGAGGCAAGTGGAGACTTCTCGTCCTTGGTGCTTCCTGCTTTGACGCTCTCTGCGACGGATTCGCGGCGACTTTCTGGCTTCTCAGCTTCATCTTTGACGCTCTCTGCAACAGATGCTGGCCTTGAAGCTTCTTTTGAGGGAAGTTGAGACTTCTCATCCTTTGCGCTTCCGGCTTTGACGCTTTCTGAGACCGAATCACGACGACTTTCTGGCTTCTCAGCTTTATCTTTAACGCTCTCTGCGACAGATTCTGGTCGAGATGCTTCCTTTGAGGCAATTGGAGACTTCTCGTCCTGGGTGCTTCCTGCTTTCACGCTCTCTGCGACAGATTGACGACGACTTTCTGGCTTCTCAGCTTCATCTTTGACGCTCTCTGCCACAGATTCTGGTCTTGAAGCTTCCTTTGAGGCAACTGCAGACTTCTCGTCTTTCGTGCTTTTTGCTTTTACGCTCTCTGCGACCGATTCACGACGGCTTGCTGGCTTCTCAGCTTCATCTTTGACGCTCTCTGCCACAGATTCTGGTCGAGATGCTTCCTTTGAGGCAAGTGGAGACTTCTCGTCCTTGGTGCTTCCTGCTTTTACGCTTTCTGCAACTGATGCTCGACGGCTTTCTGGCTTCTCAGCTTCATCTTTGACGCTCTCTGCCACAGATTCTGGTCTTGAAGCTTCCTTTGAGGTAACTGCAGACTTCTCGTCTTTCGTGCTTTCTGCTTTTACGCTCTCTGCGACAGATTCACGACGACTTTCTTGCTTTTCAGCTTCACTTTTGACGCTTTCCGCTACCGATTCAGGTCGAGAAGCTTCTTTTGATGTAACTGCAGACTTCTCGTCCTTGGTGCTTCCTGCTTTCACGCTCTCTGCAACTGATGCTCGACGGCTTTCTGGCTTCTCAGCTTCATCTTTGACGCTTTCCGCTACCGATTCTGGTCGAGATGCTTCCTTTGAGGCAAGTGGAGACTTCTCGTCCTTGGTGCTTCCTGCTTTCACGCTCTCTGCGACGGATTCACGACGACTTTCTGGCTTCTCAGCTTCATCTTTGACGCTCTCTGCGACAGATTCTGGTCGAGATGCTTCCTTTGATGCAAGTGGAGACTTCTCGTCCTTGGTGCTTCCTACTTTTACGCTCTCTGCGACGGATTCACGACGACTTTCTGGCTTCTCAGCTTCATCTTTGACGCTATCTGCCACAGATTCTGCTCTTGAAGCTTCTTTTGATGCAAGTGGAGACTTCTCGCCCTTGGTGCTGCCTGCCTTTAAACTTTCTACAACTGAAGCTCGACGACTTTCTGGCTGTTCGGTTTCATCTTTGACGCTTTCTGCTACGGAAGGTGGACTTGAGGGTTCCTTTGAGGCAAGTGGAGACTTCTCGTCCTTGGTGCTTCCTGCTTTTACGCTTTCTGCAACTGATGCTCGGCGGCTTTCTTGCTTCTCAGCTTCATCTTTGACGCTCTCTGCCACAGATTCTGGTCTTGAAGCTTCTTTTGAGGCAAGTGGAGACTTTTCGTCCTTGGTGCTTCCTGCTTTTACGCTTTCTGCTACCGATTCTCGACGGCTTTCGAGATTTTTAGCTTCTTCTTTGATAGTGCCTGCCGCAGATACAGCGCGAGAGGCTTCGATAGAGGTAATTGGAGATGTTTCATCCGCGACGCTCTCCCTTCGCGATGCTTCTTGTGTTTCCTCTGTGGAAGGTGTCGGTGCCACTTGCTGCTTATCGAGCTTCACTTCAACTTCAACGGCTTCCTCAATGGTGGCAGGACTCTCCATTGATACGGTGTCCTCGCGATCTTTGGCCTTTGCTGATGGTGCGATTGCTGGCCCAGTCAAATGAGCGGGGAGCTCGTCTTCGGATGTAATGTCACTGGTCTCCTTCTCTTCGGGTGTGCTCGCTGACTTCTTTGCCTCTTTCTCTGTGATAACTGCTGCCTCGATCTTTGTTTCGAGCTCTTGGACCTGCTGGACCACCTGTTTCTGGATCACCTCCTCCACTGTCTCTTCCACTGCGGCTGCTGTTGGGGTTGCGGCCTTGGCTGGTTCCACGGGAGCCACTGGAGCTTCTTTGGCTTGCTGAACATCTTCAGCTTCGACCTCAGTTTCCTTTTCGTCGTCGGTTTCCTTCTCTTCCTTGGCGGACTCCTCCTTGTGCGAAATGCTTTTGGCACCTAAGTCCTGACTGTCTTTTTCGTACAGGCCCAAGTCGGCCTCCTCATGGACAGGAAGGTCGGCAACCTCGTCGGGAGTCTTAATCACGTCCCTCATTAGGTTCTGCTGCGCCTCGAAGGTCATTTTCATGGGCAGGACTCGATCTCCGGACTCAGGAAGCTCGGCAGCCTGGACCGTGGTTTTCACATCCTTAGGCGCCACAGCGGCCGCGATAGCAGCTTCAGCGTCAGCTGTGGCCGAAGCTGCATCGGGCAGGATTACTCTGGCCACAACGACTGATTCGACTTCTTTGGTTTCCTCCTTCACGTACTTCTCCTCGATGACCAGGTCCTCCTTGATCTGGTCCAGCGGAATGCGCTCGTCCTCTGGCAGGGTGGGGGCTGTGGTGGCGCCCGACTCGATGGTGGCGGAGAACTTCTCCTCTGGAAGACTTTCCTGTAGATTAATGGGCAGCGCCTCGGGTGCCTCTAAGGGCTCGTCCTTGGTGTCCGATGTCTTTTTGCTGATCTTCTCCTCGGGCGTGGGCGAGGACAGCTCCTCCTCGGGCTTGGCCAGCTGCTCTTCGGTACGCGACTTGACAATGTCCTTGGCCGAGGCGATAATCTCCTGCAGCTCGGCCTTAATCTCACCCTCTGCAGTAAGATCCTCGTGTCTGGCTGATGCGGCTGCAGCAGATGCGCCGCTGCCTTCCAGACGGGCCTTGCGCTCGGCGGCTTCCACCTTCGCAATGGCGGCCTCGATCTCCTCCTCTGCGCTCTTCTTGCGCTTCTTTTCCGACTCTTGGGAGTCGCGCTGGTGTTTCTGGATCTCCTCCTCCTTGGTGATGCTGCTCTCCTGCTCGATGATCGAGTCCTCAGTGTACTGCTCGACCTCCTCCTTCTCGATAATAAGGTACTCCTCCTCCTCCTCGGCCTCAGTGGTGCTGTCCTGTTTGGCCATCTCCCGCAGCTCGGCCTTGATCAGCTGCTGGCGCTTCATCTCGTCCCGGCTGAACACCGCCTCGATCTCGCGCACCACCTCCTGCTCCTCCTTGAGGTCGTCCAGCTCGCGCTGCTTCTCCGCATCGAGCTCCTGGGAGGCGGTCAGATCCTGCAGCTTCTTGGCAGCTGTCGCATCGTCGGCCGATGGCGTCGACACCAGGCTCGAGTCCGTGGTGCCGCCCTTGTCCAGACGCGCCTTCTTGAGGTCCGCTGCCTTCGGCTTGGCCTGCTTGATGGGACTACCTGGTGCTGGTGCCCGCTTGGAGGGAGACACCCCTCGGGGTCGCCTCGAGATGGGCTTCCGCTGCGCCGCTGTCTGCGTCGTCGTCTTGGACTCTGCTTGGCTTTGCTGAATCTTTCTCTCAGTGGTTGCCGTGGTTGCGGTGGTGCTGCTGCTGCTTGTGGCACGCCGCGTGCTGGCACTGGTGGTCGTCTGACGTCCTGCGGCCGCCGCCGCTGCCTGCTGCTTGGACTCCAGCACCTTGCGGTTGTTGGCCTCCTTGGCGCTCTTGGCCGGGGTGCTGCTGGGACTGGACTTGGTGGCCGGACGGGACATTGCTTTGTACTTTCCGTCACGCGAGGCATTCGCACGGTACGCGGGCGTGGCCGTCGGCGAACTCTTCTTCTCCTCGCGCTTCACCAGCTTACGGTCCATGGACTTGGGCGGCTTCGTGTCGATCCTGGAGCGCACCACGGGCTTTACTTCGGCCCGTGGCTTGTCCAGCTTTCCCTTGGCTGCCTTTCCTGCTGCTTGCTTGCTGGTGGATGTGGCATCCGCAGGGGTTGCCGTTTCCACTGCAACGGCATCGACGGCATCCTTGGACGGGGCTGATGCTGGTGCCTCCTCTTTCTTCTCCTCATCCTTGTTGTCCTGCTCGGGTTTCTCCTGCTCTCCAGCCTCCGGTTCAGGCTCAGCATCGGCCTCAGCCTCCGTCTCCACTGGCTCGGACTCTGCAGGCGCTGCCTCATCCCCAGTGTCTGCCCCTGGTTCCGCCTCCGGTTCCACATCCGTGTCCATGGAGTCTGCCTTGGTGCGGACTATCGCGGCAGCAGCAGTGGCAGAAGCAGCCGCCGCGGCAGCTGCAGCTGCTGCCTTGGCAGCCTCCTCCTTGGCCTTGTTGTCCTGCTGCTGGTGATGCTGGACGGCAACGGCGGCGCTGGCAACGGGTCCAAACTTGGAGATGGGCTTGTAGCTGGCGCTGGGCGGAGCGGGCGTCGCCTCAATAGCAGACTTGAGGCTCTTGCGGGTGCTGGCGACCGTTTGGATGGCCGGAGCAATGGACTTGGCCGTGCACGTCGAGTGCTTCATGAACTCCAGATGTTTAAGCTTCTCGAGACCCTCCTGGATCTTGAAGTCAGGCGTACTGCCGGGGAACAGAATGCGGGTGATGGTGTCGTCCGGATTGGCGGGCTGCCACACGAGTAGTGCACAAATGGAGACGAGATTCTGCAGCGGGAAGTTAAAGTCCTTGGAGTCGCGGGCGGCGAACAAACGCTGATCGCCGGCATTCCACTTTTGCATAAACTCCTTCACCTCCTTGGAGTCGCGGGCCGGACTGATCACGTACATGTCCAGGGTGCCGTGGCCCACCTTGTGGTACAGATTAATCGGCTCCTGGTTGCGGTAGCAGCTCTGCGGCTTCAGATCCAGAGCCTTCAGGTCACTCACGATGCCATGGCCCCGCTCGAACAGATCGATCAGCAGCGGATTGCGATCCTTATCACCATCGGGACTGGGCAGTCCCTTGCGGTCAGGTACATTGCCGAAAAAGTGCCCAATCTGGGGGTAGACATGCGAGTCCCGCTTCCGAGAGACCACCGCCCCAAGCCCCTGCACATTGCTGTTGTTCAGGCGCGTCATCAGCACAGCGTCCAGTCGATCGAGATGGCGGGCAAAGTCCCAAAAGCATGCCTTACGATTGAAGCCGCCATCGACTGCAAGGGATGGACAAAGACAAGACATTTTGTTGCATATGGATAAGTATCCCCAGAGTAGTGTTAGAGATGCGTTACTTGGCTGACTACTCACCCAGCATATTAAAGCCATTGATACCAAAGAGAGCCGCATCGCCCTGCCCGCCGGGGAAGACGTAGAGCGTGGGATGCGTAAAGCGAATGTTGCCCACCACATCTGAGGTCTCGAGCAGCTCACGCAGCGATGTGGGCATCACCATGGGCGCTAGGTAGTCTGTGGGATGGTAAGCCAGCAATTAGGGTATCGGGGAAACTGCAAAGAACGTCGACGCCTGAACTCACCCAGGAAGCCATTGATGCATTCACTGCTGGTGTCCAGAACATCCACGGGATTGATACGGATTTTGCACTGACGCGCAAAGGATTTATCCGGTAGCGTGTGCCACAGACCCGCATCCGCGCAATGGATGTTCATGGTGATGGTGTCCGCGTAGGCGCGTATTACCCTTTGTACGTCGTGCTCCTGAAACGCCTCCGCAAAGTCGGCCACCGAAAAGGTTCCATCCTGTAATAAAGGAAACCATTAAACGTAAGCTTCCCAGCCATAATCCACTTCTACCACAGTAAAGACCCACCTGCAGTATCCAGGAACCATTGCCGCTGAAGGTGTAGCCGGCATGGATGATGTGCCGATGCCGGGTGAAGCTGCTGAGCAGATTTCGCATGCACTGGATCAACGTGTTGTACTGCGGATGGATGAGCACCTCTGTTACCAGATTCTCGCTGGCATACTGTATAAGACGTTCACCTGTGGATTGTCAATGAATGGAACGCTTTTCTTTAGAAGAGAGAATATTTCGTAGCCCCAAAGCCACACTCCCCCTTTGGCGTGACCTCGTTCCGTAGCCCCCAGACGCTCCACCCACAGACTTAAATGAATCTATGACCAAACAGGGGACGGGCTGTGACAGACGCTTTAGTGGCTACGGACACGGACTTGGACTCGAGCACGCACACAAATTCAAGTGGATTTCAATTGTGGGGCGATGTTGGGAGTCCTCGAGTCTACGCCCGCTCACGTCCTGTCGCACGGCGATGCTTGGGAATTACTTAATAAATCTTTAATTTAAATGCTTTAATTAAGTGTGCGCTCGGTGGTCGGTTTCGCTGCTTCAGGTGCGACCTTGCTGGCGACCTTGTTTGGCATCCACTCTGGGATCATAATGATGTTGCACATGTTGACGTTGGTGTTTTTTTTTTGTGTTCAGAGTTCTGGCCACCCAAAATGGTTTTGTGGGGCACGGTATGCGTATACCATGCATACGTAAATAATTTACGCATTTTCCGCACTAAATAGTCGTTGACAAAGAGCCAACAGGCAGAGAAGAGAAGAGGCAGAAAGGCAGAGTGGCGGATAAGGCAGAGAGCGCGTGTAGTGGCAGGGTCAGCTTTTATATGAAAGTGTGTGTGTGTGGCAGTGGGCAGAGCAAGCGGTCAAATGTGCTCACGTACGCGTAAAAAATACAAGAAGAGCCCTAACGGGGGTGCACTTCCTATGGCTTCCTACCATCCATCCACCATACCCTCTTCCGCTCTGTCTCTGACAGTGTGCGTCTGTTTGGTGCGTGTTTGTGTGTATCCCTTGTGCTTTTTATAAATGATAATCTTTCCGGGCGCCCGACCTGCGTGTGCGATGGCTTATATATTTATCGCATGGAGCACACGGAATGTTTTTGTGCATGACACCCCGTTCCATGGCACTGCCACCCATGGTAGGCCAGGACCTGTGCGTATACGCAATTCCCATGAATTTAGGTTGCCCCCTGCAATACGCTCCGCCCTGTTCGTGTGGTCTGTCACTTGCACACTCGCATAATCGTAAGAATGTTTAGTTTACAACTAGGCTGTAGGACACCCAAAGGACATGCCCTGCCCTGGCATTAGCATCTTGCTGGGCCGCACCTCCCCTCCATTCTCCCCCATCGATATCCCTGAAGATATCCCAGCAAATGGAATGCCAATCGTGCTGCAGATTGCAATAAACTTCAATCTAAAAACGAATGCCAGTCCGATGGAGGATTCTTACGCCCTTATTCACAGGACAACATGGGAACATGTCGGAGGAAGAGACTTCCCCCCAAATAATATTGTAAATGACACTCGAAAGCTGAGGTTGGAATTTAGATTGCGATGAATGAAGGGGCAGGTGACACCCCCAAGGCTGGCTCCTCGCTCAAATCAGTGGACGGACTTTAAGACCACTCGGAAGAGTCGAAATCAAAAAGTTAGTGCCACACAAACACAATGAAAAGTTGCATCAAAGTGCTTAAAGCAAAGACCCCCCACAGCGCACAGGACTCGCTCAGTGCGCCACTTGACAAGTCATAAAGGGAGGGAAGGGAAAGTTGCAGAATCTGCTCCTCGGGGATTGGGGAGGCTGCAGGGCCAGTGCATGCTCCTGCCCCAGACCTAACCAAAGTGGCAACATGGCGCCAGATTAACCGTTAATAGTTGCTCTCCGCTACAGCCAGCCAGTGTTGCCGCAACTTTTGAAACAAAACAAAAAAAAAAACGCGAAACGCGAAACGAGAAGCGAGAAAAAACGCAAAACAGTTTCCAAAACAGGCGGCGGGCGGAAACTTTTTGTGTTTTTTATGATTTTGTAGATATATTTTTTGATTTTTATTTTCTCTTTTTTTTATTTGACTGCAAAGTAATTACAGTAACGGGCGCCGGTCAGCCTCTCTGCGCTCTTCGCCACCCAATCCCCACTCCCCACTGCCCCTTCTGTGCCTCCTTTGCTCCCTCTGCCAGCCCAAGGGCCAGGAAAAAGTTTCCTGTCAAGCCAACGCGCACGTGTAAAAAAAAAGTTTCGAAATGACCTTTCGCACACACAAAAAACCCCCCGAGAACCTCGGCACCCACCCACCACCAATCCCTTATTTTCCTGCTTTCCCGTTGCCACACAAATTTACTGCGAAAAGGGCATAAAAAATGCTCAAAATTAAATAAAAGCGGCAGGCGAGCTGTCAAAACCGGATATCAGATGAGTGGCAGATCTTTTTGGAGCCATGCCACAAGATTTGAGAAAAGCTTCACAAAAATAAGCCAAAGAGGTTTAGAAAATCTCCGTTGCAGAAGGCTTTAGATATGTGGGCTCAAGAGAGTTCGACAAGGAGAGAGCTAAAGAAACATAATCGTTATATTTTTACTCCAAAATTCCATCTTTGGAGCTGACTATAAAACTGATTTAAGACAGTCTTGGTTGAGGACATTTTCATTTATTAACTTAAATATGCAGGGAGAATCTTTGAGGTTTCGTTGAGAAACCCTCGTGCCCAATGTAGCCACATGACCGTCGCACAAGCGAATAAACGATCTACGCTGGTTCCGCCGAATCTTTCAACTATTGCTGTTCCGAGCGGACCGTAATACTAAAGATTATTTAGTAAAACGTTTCCTTCGTGTAAGGCCAAGAACCCAGTGGAAATGATGTTCGCAAACAGAGCCAGATCCTTCAGCTTGTCTCCGTGCCTGGGAGTCGTAGCCCAACAGAACGTAAATGAGTGGCACGAGGCACAGGCAATGGACCATTGCCTCGACCGTTGGCCATTGTATGGCCATTCATCGGGCACTAAAGCCAAACCACTCAGAAGGCTCAAAATACCTTGAATAACCATAGCCATTCTCCGTTGGATCCAGCGTTCGCATCGCACATATGCAGGAAGAGACCAGCAACAGATTTGTGAAAACAGACATTATTTTGGTTATTTATTTTAAATTTACTATGGCGTAAAATGTTGTATGTTCTCGACAGAACATTGTTTTGTAGTGATTGACTCAGAGTTTGATAGAGTAAAACTCTGGCTAAGCCCTGCTAGTGCAGCCTCTAGAAAAGGCGATTGATGGGTTCCTCCTCCATGCCTAAAGCATAATTTTTGTCTCTATGTGCAATGCATCAAATGGGAGATGGCCTACTAATGGCCATTTACCACTAATCCCTGGGAAATACGATGATATGATGATTTTTTAATTAGCGGTTACAAACCGCTGCTGAGGACATGCCGCCCGACACGTGGCATGAACATTTATTATTGACCCGATGCCAATGTGCCATGGGGAGCATCATTAATCAGTCGGGCAGCCGCCTGGGCAACATTTAATATGCCGGAATTATCGAAGGCAGGGACTGGCATGATGGCTGGATGGATGCCTGCAATGCATTGCAATGGATTGGCTTGGTGTTGGCTGAACACGACCGACGATAACATGTTGTAAACGTCTAGCGGTATGTTTATTCAGGCATTCTACACTAACCTTTTCTCTTTCGCTTCTTTGCATAATTAAAAGGATGGCAAAGAGTCTCCCGCTCGCCCGCAAATGACAGCAGTTCTTGTCCTTGTTCTGTTTCTCTGTTTTGTTTTGTTGTGTGCTGTCCATGTGGCTTTATATTAATTGATGCCCTGTCACCGTGACACGTGTTGGGTGGTAGCCTTAGGTGGGTTTTGGGCAAACACTTGTAATTTTGTATTGCTGCTGCTTGTTCCGCTTATGCTTCTTGTCAGGCACATCATCATAGTTTTATTTGCCTATCGCTTGCTCCTCTCCCCAACCCCCCATCCGCACTGGAGTAGTTCCTACTTCTCCTGCTGCTGCACGTATCACTTCTCTCACATGCAAATCATGTCCATCCATCTATTCCACCAGTCTGTACTGTGCTGTGCGTGTCTGTCTCCTATTCTCTCAATTCCTATCTCTTTTTCTCTTTCTCTTTCTCTTTCCCTTTCGCTTAGTCAGTTTGTCAGTTTGTCTGTCTGTTTCCTATTTGCCTAACTTTTCAGTCGGTGGATATGGAAATGGAGGCGTTCTTTCTCTCTTTCTGACTTGAATTATGCATGAGACACACACAGACACACCCACACATAGACATTGTCAATACGGCCTTGTAGGTGTGTGCCCCTCACTTGCTGCTACTTTCTCCTCCAAGGCACGGCATGGACCCTGTCTATCTATCAATTTTGCATACGCTCTATCTCAAGAATTTGTATGAGTTTTGAGGCTATGTAGGGTCGTGATACGACTCTTTGGCCCCTCTCTGCCTTCTCCATTGTGGCACACTTGTGCCCCTGCACTTCATCGTATACATCCTCTACATCCTTTTCAATGCTTATGTGGGTTTCGGCTTAGGGATGAGAGAGAGAGATAAGAATGTGTCCAAATCCCTGATGATCCGTAGGCAGAGCGGAGAAGTGGATGGAACGCACTTGGAACAGCAAATTGGGGGAAACATGAGTGATGTGTGGCAGTAGAAAGAGAACAGCAAAAGGAACAGAAGGTACTGCAGCGATAGCAGAGAAAGCCGAAGACAGTGGGAAGTAGTAAATGGAGAGTGGAAAATCGAAAGTTGAGAAGCGAAACGAGTAAAGTAAAGTAGAGCGAATTGGGGAGAATTCAGAGCCTATCAAGAGGAAGGTAGAAACGAGTATCGCTCCCTCAAAACAGTAGCGAGCGCTTTGAGACAACGGCAGCTTAAGTCGAACTGGTAAACTGGCACAACCCAGCCATGCGCTGAAGGCTGTCCATCTGCCCAACTATATTTATAGCGAAGTAAAAGGAAGTTCCAGTAAAGTAAACTTTTGAGCAAGCATCAAGCGTCGACCTCCCAATGGAACCTTAGCGAGTGGCGAGTGGCGAGTGGCGAGTGCAAAAAGCGAACAACGAGAAGTGGAAAACTTTCACGAAATCAATCACTCGAGCAGCGGCTACGTTCGGCTCTTGTTTCTGGTCAAGGACTCAGCGTGAAAACCCATTGAAGGGTCACCCATGGGAGCGTTTGCTTGATGAGGAACACTCTTAGAGCAGAGCGTACCAGGTGCACAGTTTCAAAGTTGCTGTCCGTCCCTCAAGACAACTTAACTAAACTGTGCATCAAACTCAATTTTTTAGCAGAGACATGGGTGGGACTAGGTGGGAGACTGAAGGAGAGCTATAAAGCATGAATTATGCGCTTGTTAACGAATGTTTGTAATTGCTGGAAAAGTTTCCATCCACTTCTACCCTGTCGCCTCTTTGCCTTCTAAGTACACGAGTATCTCCTTTGGCAGTTGTTCCGACAAGTGCCGCTTCCCCCACCTGCTGCTTCTGCTCCTGCTCCTGCTCTTTCACCGCACAAAGGCAGCTGGCAGCTGGCAGCACGCACGACGGTGGACACATCGTGGACCAGAGAGCTCCCAGTGCCCTGGGAGCACTGCAGGACGAAGCACAAAGCGCTCGCTGAAGCGAATGCATTCTGTGCATTCTCAATCGCGCCTCAAGAGCCTTCGCCCGTCGGCCTTCAGGATCTCTCTGCCACTGGCGTGGCTTTTGCTTTTGCTTTTGCCTTTGGCTGGGACTCTGCTTATGTCCATAGTTATGCCTGCTGCGGCATGTGGCACTAAAGCTGTGTGGCTGTGCGGCAGCATCATTATTGGGTTTGGACCATGCTGCCGCGGTGCTCCAAGGCGGGCGCCACTTGAGAATTTTGTTTGAGTAGTTTCGAAACGAAATGCAATTGCAAATGCAAATGGAACAAAAAATGCGAAAAACTGCAGGCGCTGCCAACTTTTTCCCTGCCATTGTCCGCGGCCGCTGAATGGGAGCGCATTGAGCGCAGGTGTTGCACTTAGCGTGTCCTTCAAGGACAACGGCTGAACGTCAGAGCAACACCACAACAACACGCCTTGTCAGTGCCGTCAGTATTTGCGGTTTCTGTACTTTATTTTTAGGTATTTCAACGCAAAGCAGGCTGCTACCTTTCGGGAAGAGCTGCCAGGGACACAAAGTGTGTGCAGAATTAAAGATAGAAACACAAAATGTGACAGGGAATTGCATGCATCTTATTATCGATAGTTGTGCATAGAATCAAGCTATAAACAAGCTCCTTGTCCTAATGATAACACACCAATGAGATGCCATACAAACAGGCGGATGAATCTATTACGCAGAAGAGCCAATCAAAAGATGATTCGAATCTCCGTCAATCTCTGCGTCAGCTTTCGAGTCGCTGTCTCGGCAATCATCTCCAAAGCCAGGACTCAACGAAGTGCACAAACAACAAACAGCGCGCCACAAAAGCAAACACAGGAGCAAAGACAGCAAGGAACGGAGCGTGAAAAGAAGGGACGAGGAGGAGGGGGAATGCACGGGAAGCCACTTGAATGCATTTCAACCACGTTTTAGACTAATCCACAAAGACAACAGCAGCAGCGACCAAGAGAGCCAGCCAGGCAGCCCGTGCCGCCCGCAATCCAAGCCCCAATCCCAGCGTTGGCTTCAGTTCCCTGCCTCATTGTTCCATTCTGCCTCTGTCGATAATGATGTTGATGATGATGATGATGATGATGATAATGCTGCTGCTGTTGTTGTTGCCAGGCGTTCTTGCACTTTGGGGCAAATGAAAATGCAGCCCCAGCCTCCCGGTGTGGGCATGGATTTATCACAAAAGCCTGAACGACAAAACAACAAAACAACAAAAGCATAAGAGCATTAAAGCGTTGAGCTTTCGTTGGCTTTTGTGCATTCAATTGTTGAGGCTCCCCCTTCAACATCCCAGCCCCCATCCCCCTGCACGTTATGGCTTATGAATGCCTGCTGCCTGCTGCCTGCTGCTGTTTGCAGAGACAATTGTCATAATAATTCGTTAGGATAACTTTGTAATTTGCCACAGCAGATTCTGCTGCTGCTGCTGCTGCTGATGAACTTTCGATGAAGTGAAGGGCTTACTGTGGATCCTTCCATCTGATTGGTGGCACCCTTCAAGGACTGCAACATGCATTTGAGGAGACAACAGAAAGACTTACCGTGACGTGCCTCCTCTCCCTCGGGCGCATGTTGTGTTATCGTATTGAGTTCCTCCTCCAAATCGACGTGGCAATCGGATACGTCCCAGGAGAGGAATCCTGCAAGAGACACAACAAAAATAAAGTCAGATATTCAGTTGGAAGGTAAATATAAATATCTGTGACATTTGTAGGATCAAACGGATGGTAAAATGCATTTCTGATTGTGGATGTGGCAAAAGGAAAATGCATTTGTTTTATTGGATTTTGATTTGGAATATGGAAAGGGAAAGGGAATGTCTGTAAATGTAGTTATGTTGACTGACTAGAAATACGAATGGCTGAGACAAGGCTAAAAGGTCATCAAGGGCAGCCCACTCATCCATCACTCGCGTGTGGGGGAGCCCTTGTGGCGAGACCCTTACATTAGTTTCTGCATTAAATTTGTGTAATAATTATGCGCAGTCTCTGCCAATAGTAGTAGTTGGCTCTCTGTTGGTTTTGATAAATGAGCATCCAGGGGCAAACAGAGAGAGAGAGAGCGAGCGAGCGAAAGCGAGGTCGCATTACGCATACGCCACGATGGACATGCACCCCGCACCCTGGACGCCTTTTCATATTTGCCTAGACTGTGCCCTCTGCCCTGTGCCCACTCCTGCTACGAGTCCCCATCCAGTTGTGTATTATGTCATTTGGTCAGCAAATTAAGTCAGCAAGGGCGACCCCACCTGCTCCTACAGAGTGCTCTCTCTCCTCCTCTTCCCTCATCACAGACTTTCGGCGTGACTATTTGCAAAGACGGAGTAAAATAACTAGATTGGAGTGAGTGATTGCTGTTAAGCTTTAAAGCTTTTGATACTCTGGCAAATCCATCATTGCCCAACCAATACTCTTCCATAAAAATAAAGAATCTGAGTTGGGATTCTTTGAGAATCATTTTTCTGTCAGGGTGTAGGTCATCAGCAGAGCCCAATGCATTGGTGACTCAAAGTGACTCCAGGCTGGACAGCCTCCACCCAGGGTCCTGGTGGACTTAATAATCCTTATGTCTCAGCTGGACCGGCATAGATACAAATTCAAACTGCTTTCTGGGCCATTAATCACCTGCCTGCAGCCGCACCACCTGCACCTGGGCCATTAGCATGCCGCTTCTTTGCGTTTTTCCCATAGTTTTTCCTCCTGTTTGCTGAAAGTTTTTCAATTGTTTGGATGCAAAGCGTCAGAAGGCAGCTGGGCAGGTAAGTAAATCGAATCACCCTTAGGAGCCTGCCGCCTTGCTCCTTTTTGAAGTTACGGTTACAGCCGACAGATTGTAAATTATCTCGTAGGCCGCTTGCAAAAATTAATGAACAAGACGGGCTCAGGCGCTCCTCCCTCGGCTCCCATGAATGATCCCATGAATAACTTATTCAAAACGAGACCTTAATGAGTGCTCAACTTTCATTTTTATGCTGCCAAGTCCAACAGATGGAAATGAAGAGGCACATACGAAAAGGAAGGGTGTGGCAGCTGCCAGACGGTGTGTGGCATGTGGCAGAGTTCTTGCAATATCATTGAATGGCAAATGATCCTTGGCGCCTGGCTTGCTCCCTCGCCCTCCCCCGACTCGGTGCAGCTCGTCCTGCGACATTCTTTTGTGTAGCCAAAAAAAAAAGCGCCACCTCTTTCCCTTCACTCCTGCCCATCCCTCTCTCTCTCTCTCTCTCTCCTTCTATCTTTGCGGCACAAATGGCTGGCAACAGCAGCAACAAAAGCCGACGGCAGCAGGAACGAGAAAGAGAAGCGAACTTCAAGGCATAAAAATGTAAAATCTTAACACTTTTTTTTTTACAGCCAACGCCAGCCACACAGAGTACAGGATCAGGCAGAGGCAGAGGCAGGGCATTGTAATGAAGCTGCAAAGAGAAAGGAAAAGGATAGAGGGAAAGGAAAGGAAAGGAAAGGAAAGGCGCCAGCATAAAGGAGGAGCCAACAATGTGAGGACGCTGAGGCAGCAGAGGCACACGGGGCCAGACGGCAGTGAAAAGCGCCTACAGCGATTGCACAAAAATAATGAGGAAGCGCGCCCAGGATATATATATATATATATATATGTGTGTATGTGTGTTTGAGAGGAAGTGCCTCGCTCAGTCACTCCCTGCATCTACCTCTCGCACTCTTGAGCAATCATCGAGCGAATGAAGCCACTCAGACGCTGCCTGGATGGATGGGCCGGCAGGCTCTCCCTGTGTGTGCTACAGAATCTGAGTCACTCCCCCTCTGAGCTGCTGTTGTTGGTGCTCTTTCATTTAATATTTATGCGTTGATATCTGTGAGTGAGACTTCAATTTGCTTGGTGCCACATCCAGTGTGTTCCAGTCGCTGCTTTATTTATTTATATTTAATTTCAGAGCTCAGCAGAACAGAATCCGCTTTAAGCCCCAAGAGCAGCTCGGTTCGCACTTGAAATTCCCTAAAACGACATCCGTTTGGGGCTCCAAGCTGTATCTTTCGATACTCAAACATAAATAGCCTCAATCCATTGATTCGAATCCGGCACTGAGTGGAGACTCTACCCTTTGGTAGCCTTGGCATTCAGTGGCTTCTGCAACATGGCATTTATGGCCGCTGATTTCAGATAATTTCCCTCCTGCTTTGTATCTGCCTGCGGCAGTGGCACTGGCACTGGCACTGACACTGGCACAGTGCTGCAGGCATATATCCTGCCACATTGCACTCCTCCACATTCGATTGACAGTCCCGACAGCGCAGGTATCGAATGCAAAACGTGACAGAGAGTGAGGGAGAGAAGAAGGCATAGAAATTAGACACCTGTTCAGGCGTGGACGTGGACAACTGCTGTGTGCCTGTAGCTATTTGTGTGTGTGTGTGTGTGGATGTGGCATGCAATGACATTGCATCTATCTGATGCCGCTTTCCGTTTTTCAAACGTAATGATGCCTCGCCCTGTGACAGACACTCTTTGCCGCTTGCCACTCGATTGTTTGCACAAAATAGTTGCATAATTTTGTGCGGCGCGCCCACTAAAAGCCACTCGAGAGTCATCGCGTGGAAGCATGGCAGCAATGCAGCAAGGCAGCAAGGGTCTGGGTCTTTCGTTCGTGTTGATTTTGATGTAGCTAAAAAGCCACTTGTCGTTTTTGTTGTTGCAACGACCCTTGAAGCAGCGACCGAGCTCTGTGCGCACTGCGGCGGAGAAGGAGAAGGAAAAGCGCGTTGGAAAAAGTTTGCACAGCCAAATGAATGATGCCGCCTCCATCTTTTCAGGCTCTTATCTGCGCTCACTCACTATCTTCCCCTCTCTGTCTCTCTCTCTTGTCATAGCTGAGAGGCTGGAGTGCAGCAAAAAGGGGCTAAATGTTTGGAAATGCATAAATAAACACATTAAAAAGAAATTAAACACTTGCTCTCATTAATTGCACATTGAGTCAAGTGGATGGATGGATGGCTCCTTCAAGAGGATGGAGGATGGAGGACGGCGGATGGCAGCAAGTGCAGGCAAAGAAACTACCGAACTGAAGGACAGTCCAGAGGAGTGGGAAGGCGGCAGACAGCGCTTCCGCATCTGCTGCGTGGCAGAGAAACTCAAGAGACAATAACAATTAAAGGGAATCGAAAGTTAAGTAAGCACAGAGACAAAGAGAGTCGCAGGAGAGAGTCCGAACTGGAGGCGGGGCTGTGCTGAAAGCAGGCCTCGGATATCCGGAGTCCATTGTTGTGACAGCAGTAGGCAGTGGGATGATGGCATGGTGGCAGGGGTCTATGTGGAGAGGTCAAAGTGGATGTGGAAGCGCAAAACAATGGCGAAAACAATGCTGCGCCTGATTGCCCAGTACCCAGTACCGATAAGGAACGTCTCCCGCGGACACAGAGGACACAGACGGACACAGGGCCAGATATAGACACAAGGACAACGCTGATGATGTTGATGCCGATGTACTCACGGAAGGACGATACGACAGCAGAGGAGAGCAAAGGGGAGGTGTGTATAAAGCACACACAGCGATATGTATTCGCCGATAAGAATTGTAATTAATTGGCAGATAGTAGAGTCCTCCTTCCAGCAATAAAGAACTCTGACAGCGAGACAGCCACAAGGCAGAAGACATTAAAAGTAGATCCTTTAACAACTGAGAAAGGGAAGCAGGTCTGGAGCTCTGTTATTTTGGCTATTTGAAAACCTTCAACAAGTTGCGTTGCACCGACTAATATTCCGAACCTGGATTAAAGCTGCCTTATCACGGATTTTCAGGCGAATGAATGCGCCGGCAGTTGCTCGGACCTAGACCCAGGCCTATCGTGAATTGCGTCATTGCGTTCGCCATTTTCCACAGTTCAATGTCCAATCCCAATTCAAAGTCCTGCTCTTATTTTCCAGTTTCATTGCTGAGTCATGTCCATCTGCAGACCTCCCCCCCACACAGCCTTCTCCTGCCTGGCTGCCTGCCTTCTCGTCCTGTCGCACATGACGTATGCGCAATATATATTTTGAAGTGTTTTGTTTCCCCCTAATGGCTAATCAATGTTTATAGTTTCACCAGCAGCACTCTGGCCGAGGCAAAAGACACTAAACAAGACATACAGCAGGCAAGGACAGGACACACGCCGCCTCAAATATGAAAATACAAATGCGAAAATTGGATGGAAGGGCATGCACGGAGCAAACGTAGAGAGTGGCCATAAACTGTGGTTGCGCAGGACAAACGAAGCTAACAAATATTCCAATAAATATTGCAGCCACACACCACACACCACACACGGAGGCGTGGCAGAGATGAGGCACAATGAGGCTGAATGTGGCAGGAACACAAACTGGCACCGAATCATGCCAGCGGCACAGGTGCAAGTGCGAGCGAGTTTCGCATAATTTATGTCACTTTATCGATTCAAATAATACACGTGCATAAAGAAAGGGACGGACAGATGTATAGTGCAGAAAGAGAGAGTGGGAGAGAGCGCAAGAGATGCATAGCAGAAAGGCGTAAGCCAGAAAGAGATGGAGATTTTGTGGCATAGTGAATTCTTTTTCCATACTTTATGGCCTTGCATAAATTGCTCATAAATGTGTTACCACACCCCGTGCCCTCCCTTTCCCCTCACCCAGCATCAGCATGCACGTG